TGAACCCCACATCAGAAATCATTGCTGAAGCAAACCATATGGTCCCCATCCTCTTTAGTTCAGACGATATGTAGCCAAGGATTTCCAAAATGAATTATAAGCTTGATTTGTCTGACCACAGAGAGTTTTCCACTTGGCATAAGTCCATTTTAAATGTTCTTGCAGAGGGGATGACAGTGGTTCAGCACGCCATTTTCTTAGAGCTTCAGTTTGCACAACAGCTTTTGGACGTTCTGCTGCGTTCATGCAGTTATTTCCATGACGGAATCACGGCTCTTTTTTTTTTGTGCACCCTCCTGGGGTCATTCATACCCTGCATTGAGGGAAACTGGGGTATGACTGAGTCCGGGACAGCGCACAAAGGTTAATTCAGAAAGGCCTGAAGGACCAAAGATCATACACATCCAGTATGGATTTTCAGATGTATCTGTTGTATTTAGTGGTGTCTCCAATTGCCCTGAAAATCATAATGATACTATGTTTCATGGATAGTTGAGACATTCAAAATCTTTACTTTAATTTTAGGCGACATTGCTCCACAATTCATGTCCACAGTATACCTCTGCCCATAATTTCTTTCAGGTGCCATTTTTAAATTGTTGACCTGTTGCTAAATAGCAAAAGTAACCATAAAATATGTTTCTCTAGCAGGCTCTACAGTGATGTGATTTGGGTTTTCGCAGGCCTCTCTGTGGGCTGTTCACATGCTCTGTATGGCTTCTCTTTGCCGTTTGATCCCAAAAAGAATGCTCCTCAAGGTCATTGTTGATTTTAATTGAACGAAAGGTTAAGTGTGCAGGGTTGTTCGACCTGCTAAGATTGTACTCTTTCTCTCCCCCAGTGGTAGCTGAGAAAGGCTTTTAGCCCCTTTGTGTCAGGAATAAAGAATAAAGAGGGTATGGAAAGTGGATGATTGAATTTTCCAACTTTTTCTTTTCTTTCTGTTCTGCCTTTTGTGACCCCATGTCATGCCTTTGTTAAAGTTCAAATGTAAAATCATGTAATACATTCATTAAATCCCAAAATGTCACATTGTGAACATATTGTATTTGTTCTTGCGAATTGAATATAGGTTTTGTGAGATTAATAAATGAATGCCTTCTTTTATAATCTCAGTGGTTGTGCATTAGATATATTTGTTAAACATTTTATTCTGTTCCCAAGTTTCTCGGTACCAGCAGAGACGAGTCGGTTAAAACAACATGCGGATATGGAGAGAGGCTATTCAGTTGCAGAATGTGGCCAACTTGACTCCAGGTCAAGATAAGCCCAGGACATGAGGACCATGCTTGGATGATATAGCGGCCCCCTCGCCTTTGAAATCCCTTCCAAACTCATTGAGATACTCCCAATGTGAAACTCAAGCTAGTGGTTCTGAAGGATCCAGAGATTACGGCGGACAAAGAGCGGCATTGAGAGGTGAGGGGTGAGAGGGGATGTAATGAACTTCATGTGGAAAGCTTCCCGCTGCAGATGAGAGAGCGGCTCAAACAGGAGGCATGGTTCTGGTGTGAGGGGTGCATGAGAGCATCGCCATCCTCTTTGATTGTTCTTGTGTGAATAAAGCCAGCATGACAAACGCCTCAGAGACTCGAGTGCGCCGTCACATCTCAAAGGGATTTGATTAGTAATAACAAGATGGTGAAGGGGTGTGTTTAAAAATGTTCGAGTTTGCGCCTTAATTCACCACAGACAATAATAAAGGAGCCCTGATATTCAAGGTATTACACAACCCACTGAGCAGAGTAATGAAACGTCTCAGCTAGCAGGAAAAAATTAAGATTGACAATTAGGATTTATTGTCAAATTTCTGCCCCCTATCCGAAATTCTAGAGAATAACCAACGGACTCCTGTCGTGTTATTTATCAAGTTGTTTATTAAAACTACATCAGTTTGTAGCTTTCTGAAGTTTTTCTGGGATCTCAGTCTGCTGTGATGAAATTCTCATTTTAGAACCATAACTGTTCAGACTTGAGTTGCAGCTTTACGGACAATTCCTCCTGCTCTGTGTCTCAGACAGAGAAAGAGGTGAGTTACTTCTGTCTTGGGATTATTAAAGCCCAGAATTCTGCGCTGATTGGAAAATTAGGATGTCGAGGAACAAACATTAGCACCAGCTGCCATCAAACCACACATTGTCATGCCCCCCGTTCTGCTTTTTGTTCACCCATTTCAAACAGTTTAGATTTTAAACAGCAATCCAAAATGACACCATGAAATCAGGTGGGAAGCAGCAACATTTTCAGAGGCTCTGTCATGTGTCAACGGCCTTTTGATGTTGGCTGTTGTAGTTAATTCCCTTGTTTTTCAGATTGAGGTGTAACTTCAGGAAATGCATATTTTCAACAATAGTGGTATATATTCAGTATATATTCTAATCTCATTTTGGGTACTTGCTGGAGCTGTTTTATATCTGGCTCAGATTATGAGAAACTCGGCGAATCTTGATCTCTTGGAACTGCATAAGTAGGAAACACTCCAAGGAAAATCACGACAAGGGAAAGTCATGCACTCATTCTGAGGCTCTTGGGCCCAGTTCTCACCGTCCATGAGCTTCAGAGCCCACAAGCCCCCCCCCACCCCTCAAGCTGCTGGGCAGACTAGCAGCTGCTTTGCATCTTACTACATCTCAGAGATGAAACCTCACATATTTTCTCTGTATGCTGGCATGGCTAGACCACATAACAGCACACACTGAGGCATCCACGGTTCCAAAACTCTGGAAAACACAGCCGAATGATGATTCTTCGCAGCAACAACTGCATAACTTCATCAGCATTTTAGAATGTGGAAGTCATCGCCATGGAGCATTTTAGGGGGAAAAACAGAAATGGTTCAGTTTTCAAACATTTCATTTGTCAAGACTTTCTGGATGGATGTCTGCATGATATTGCTGGAAAATTCAAGAGCAGGGCTCAGCATGAGAGAAGGGTGCACTACAGTTTCACTCTTACACTCCTCTTGTAAAGGACAGAGTGTTCTGTAGTAGAAAATTGTTCTTGTGTGTGCACTTAACCACAGACCGTGAGTGGAGCTATTCATTTCTGAAGGGAAAAAACAAGGCTTCTAATTGAATACTATGCTATATTGTGGAATGTCTTTCTGGCTTTTGGAAACACGTGAAAAAAAAAGAACAACTCCAAATAGTATGGATGGAAAAACAGCATAAAACTTCTCATAAGGCAGTTAGTGGTTTCCATCTCTTAATACTGTGGTTAGTTTCCATTGCTTATTAATGCACAACTTTGGATCGCCGTCCAATCCTCTCTGTGCTGCCTGGAGGGGATGTCTGCTCAAAACCCACACCTGCTCTGCATTGACCATCCCGGGCGCTTTGAGTTAATTAGCCACACATTGAGTATAATAGGCAGCGCGCTCTTATCTGGGGCCCAGACATACTTAAGGAACTGGGAAAGAGAAACGAATATCCAGTCTAGACGCCTTATTTCTCGAAAAAGCACCTGAAAGTCAAGACTCATTTCTACCCAACCCCCCATCTCTTCCTTTGAGAAGGATTCCAGGCTTGTTGGTGCAGACTCAGTGTGGTCATGTCTGACTAAGCCTGGAGTCCAGAGGGGTATGTAGTGGCCAACAAAAAAAAAAAGTTCCTGACTTGTCCTCCAACCTACAGCAGAGCCCTAAACCTCCTATGATGCCACTGGATTTATTCCCTTTCTGTAAATGGAACATATGATCACAGAGACATCTGCAAGATTACCTCACATTATGAAAATTAAGATTACAATGATACAGTGGTTACATTGCATAACTGAAAATCTCTGTTCTTGATATTAGAACTGCCATCAACAGGAATGGAAAATATGTCAGGATTAATAGTGTCCATTTATGTAATTCTTTACTATTTACAGGGTGTCTTTGAACTTGACTTGATATGCTCATTAAAGTCATATTTAAAAGGTATGCAAAAAGTTTGCATACCTTTAGCAGTTTTCCTGCCGCTCAGCAGTCCATTCATATTAACTTCTGTAACTGACCCTTTGAAAATCTCATGAAGACAGAGCATTTTTGCATTGCAGCCACTGAAAGCTGTGAGAATATCTTGTCTTGAGTTGATATATTTCTTTAATTCAGTTTTATGATAATAACTTAATGTAATCTGTTTTCAATTTTTTGTGTGGACTGTGATTGTTGTCCTCAGAGCTGTTTTTTTTGTCACTATATGCTTTAGAAAGATGCTGAGGAATGCTCCCTTGATTTATAGGCATAATACAACTAATATATGTTTGTAGACTGATGTAAAGATAACTTTGATTTATTTCTCCGCACGTGTTGTCAGGACTTCTACACCTTGTTGTTAAATAAATAACGAAATCATTTTGAGAGAAAACCATTTTAAAGATGACCTCACTCCAATATCACGCCAAGCATGTCTTTAGAAGTTAAAACGCGTAAACTCTTGGCTCAGAGAGTGGGTGTCCGGCTGAGGGACTGCGCTCCCACTGCGGGCTGTGGTGTTTCTCTGGAGCTGTTGTGAGTTCCCCAGCCCAGCCATCGGTGCGTAATTGTGCACGACTGGACGGCAGATGTTCCACCACCGGGACACTCTGTCTCTGCACACTTTGCTTGAACTCTTCCTAGTCTCCTTTTCTTTTTCTTTTTCTTTTTTTTTTTTAAAGCGTAGGCGTGCGTTAACTTGGACTCCTGCCTTCCTAAACGTTATTCGAGGAGGAAAATAAGAAGAAAAAAGGTGGTGGTGGTGGTGGTGGTGGAGGGAAGTGGGCAACTACTACTTCAAACTGTCCCGGTTCCTACCGGGGAGCTGTCGTCATCAGCACCCCAGATATTTCCCCCCCGTTTGGCTCCCTAAATGGATGGGGCAGTCTCGTTCAATGCAGTTCAGCGCAGGCCAAAAGATTGGAAGCAACTTGTGAGTATCCGTCAGTTTGGAGTCTGGACTGGAACGCTCAGAAATGCCCGACTGCCTCGCTGGAGCTCAACTCTGAGGACTTTTCTCCTGCTTTAGTGTTCTCTCCCCCCCCCCCCTCACACTTTTTTTCAGGAGGAAAAAACTCTGCTCAAAAGTTGACAACAGAAAGGAAAACGTAGCGCTGAAGTGGCAGCTCTCACACTAGCTCTCGCTATGGATTGTATGTATTTGCTGATGTACTTTTCTCTTAGTCAAATATTTTTGGAACATATTTTCGCTGCAGAAACACATGGTGAGTTGTACTTTATTTCCCTTTTCGCTGTGCCTTTTGGACTGCCGGGAGGAATGTATTCTTTGGGTTAAATATGTGAAATGATACTTCAGTTTAGTGTTTGTTTATTATGATTTTAATATCAATTTGATAACTTTACTGTTATTGGTGACTTACTAATTTCGATTGATAAAGAGAACTAGCATGTTAGAATAATCCTGTGATTTTTACTTTATTTTTTACCTTATTCATGCTTGTCAGTTTTACAGAGCATGTAGTTTTTACAGAGCTTTACACTATGTTCCACAGCATCTTGCTTGGCAAAGATCTGGGAATGCCACTCTGACCTAACACTGTCTGTCCCATCAGAAAATCTCTCTGGGAAGTTAAGTGAATATGGTCTTATCGTGCCATTCAGCACAGACTCCAACGGCCGGTACATTTCTCACGTGGTCTCCTCTGGAAGTGGAAGTAAAAGTGCTGCTGGCCCAGAGGCCGCCTCGACCCTTGGCAGCAGAAAGCGGGTGGCCCGCAGTGCCCCCGAGATGCCCTCGGTCACCCCTCCTTCATCCCAGCATTTGTTTTTCAACGTCACCGTGTTCGGTAAAGAACTTCACCTCCGCCTGAGAGCCAATAGGAGGCTGGTGGCCCCCGGCGCCTTCGCTGAATGGCAAGAGGACTTTAAAGAGGGGACCAAGGAGCACATTCAAGGGGACTGTGTTTTCACTGGGGATGTGAGTGACATGCCAGAGGCCTCTGTGGCCATCAGCAATTGCGATGGGCTGGTAAGTCACACAAACATTTGAACTTCTCGTGCTCGGCGTGTGCTCCTCACACGTGTATCTCATGTGTCCATCTAATATGCATTTATCCTTCGTCTTGAAACTATTTTTTTTAAAAGGCTGAATTTGACAGTGTCTTCATATTGATTTAGTTTTTTTACCTTGTGCTCCTCTCCGGTGACTTTTGCATTGCCTCTCAGTAACGTTTTCATTTCCGCAGTAGAGGCAGAGCTGAAATATGATAGTTTAACATATATTACAGTAGAGCGCTGCCAGCTCTGGCCACAGAAAGGAGTCGGTGTGTGCGCTCAGCTGCGGCTGCTCAGGCACAAGTGTGCGTTAGGAGCCAAAGCGCTTCCTCGGCTCCATAAGTTGACGACTGGGACTGCAGGTCTGAGATGACACAGCTGCCCGAGGCGGGCTGGCTGTGCCGGGGTTTGTCGGGGCCCTGGCTGTGGAGAACACGGTGCTGTATCACTGACCTCCTGTGGCATCTTGGTAACATGCTGGATGGAAACCCTGCAGGGTCAAATTCTTGAACAACTCGGTATCAGCACAGACTGAACCACAGCAGCAGTTTAAACAGTAGCTATTAGGGCCACAGCCCCTCTCATCACAGCCATGCATGCAGCCAGCAGCTGTGTGCTGAGTAATCAATAATGAGCATTTCATTTATCACAAAGCGTCATTTCATTCCGCCCTCTTTTTTTTTCTTTTTGTGGAAGCGACGCAAGAATGGCAACTGTTCAAAAACAGCATAAAGCACTTTGCATAGATAACATTTCAACGTAAGATGTCATTTTTAAGTTATGTAAAATTCTCTTAAAAGTCCTCTCCCGGTGTTTATGAATGTTATTCATGGGTTAAACTATTTTTTTTTCTGTCAGTAAAATGTTTGGAGTTGTGGGAGAGCGAATTATCCTCTGTTCTCATAGATAAAACCTGTTTCACATCATATGCTCTTGTTTAATCTAAGCATGGTTTCAACTTTAAAGGGATATGGAATAGAATTACTTTTTAAAACTTTTTTGTATCTTTCTGTGCTTCAGAGAATGTATATGGATATCTGAAGTCACTCCCAACTCAATAACTTCCTTTTTTGAAACTCTTTGGGTCTGAAAATATGACAGATTAGCATGGAAAAAGTCTCAATTCTTGGCAGATATTGTTGCCCATCTGTTTTTTCATTTACAATTAAAACAACAAAAAAAGCTCAAATAAACTGCATTAATTTGCTTGATCTAATATCTAAGTTGATATAGTAGATCAGACTGTGACCCATGATCGTAAATTAAAACTACATCTAATTGACTAGATGTATCCTGTATAATGTCCTTTGTCACCATTGCATTGACGTATGCAAATTAAAGGGCCCTTCTGGGGTGCAAATATACACCAAGTCCAGAACTGGTGCTATCAATGAAGTTATTTCTTCCCTAAATGTTCCACCTATCCACCACATGAAGAGAAAGAGGGGAGCAGAGAAAGGATAATGAAAAACGGTTTTATTTGTTTCCCTCCCCCAGAGCATTGTTTTCCCTGCATTAGCACCAATCAATACTTTGTTCTGCTCCAGCATCCACAGCGTCATCACGGTCTCTAAATGTGTGTAGGGCTGATGGAGGAGAGCAACAGTAGCTGGGCCACTGATGGATGTTTGTAGTCCTCCAATTTAGGGTGAATTTTCAAACAGGCATGTAACATTTGAACTGACAGGTTAGCTGAGCTGTGGAAACTCATCAAGCACCTCCCTGACAGCAAAAAATCTTGTCCTTTAATGGATGTGAAGATAACCTTTGACCAAGACAAACGCATCTTTTCACCCATGCTCCTTTTTTCTGTAAATGATCTCACATTCTTTTGCACCTCCCCACACTTGTTCTCTTTATTTGTGACATGTTCGAACACTGACGTTGTTTTTGTGATGGCCATTTAATTTCCCCCTCCCACATTAACACCACAAACCATGCCCGAATTGAAAAAAAACGAGTTGCCATAGAGGAACGCGTGTCCTGTCTCATAACGGAATTACAATGAGGGGTGTGCAGACAATGCCTTGCCGTGTTCCCCTGTGTTAGAGGCTAGCATGTGCCGTATTCAAAAGGCTGTGACTGAATGCCACAAATGACGAGCAAGACCCTGAGCAGCACATTGCTGCATTCAACATACCTATTTCTGAAAAAAAAACTACAAGGATTGGATGCTTCATGGTCTCAAGTCCAAAGGGCATGTTGCAGGGATAATTTTCCAATTTTATGTGCCAATTTCTGTAATAGTGTTTATTGCTGTCTTTGTTTTTTCTTGTTTGTTTGTTTTGTTGTTTGTTTGTCTCTGTGTAATTTCCGGGAGTCCTGTTTAATCAGCTTTCATTGCTTGACTAATATTATCCCATTTTCATAGATTTCTGCCTTTTGTGTGTGCCCCCTTGTTCTGCAGCAGGCATCTCAGACATCAGTTAGCTGTTTTATTTGGGTAAACTTAACCATTTAAGGGATGCAGTCAGTCTCTTCGAGCATCATGTGTCGCCTTGCATCAAGGCAAACAGAAACATGAACTTGTCGGCGCATGCAGGGGTGTTCAGAGAGCATTTGAAGTTGCGCGCACACGCTGACATGTCTATTTGAGGTGGAAAATGTAAAGAAGATCATGCCTGATGAAAGACTTTGTGCGGTGCAAGAACTTGAATCGCCCACTTAGATCAACCAAATACGGGCTCGATTTTAGAGATTCGTTGTGTGTGTCGACTTCCCACCGGCACTCAATCTTCAAAAGCAGCTTGAAGGATTTCCCCTATAGAGAACAAACACTCGGAATTGGGGCAGATGTATATCTCGGTTAAATATTTCGCATAACAATGTACATTTATGTGAATGGAGTGCTGGGCGGTGATGGACGCAGTATCACTGTGATAAGCCTTGTACAGCTTGTTCTCCCGTAGGCTCATATGGAGATGACTCAATAATGCTCCCCAGCCTTATTCCTGGGGGTGTAGTATTAATGGAATTTGCAGCACATGATTTTAAACCGATGCCTGCTGTAAAGCAGCATAATGGTGTGACATTTGTATTTAATTTTAGTTGTCGGTTGAGGTTGCACAACCAGTGAGAGCCTGCCTGCGCTCCTGCCTCTTTTAGCTATCTTTGTTTTCTTTAATCCTCGGGATCTTTGACTGTAACCCCTGTTAGATAGCAACAGCTGAGTACTCCAGGGGAACAAGGACTTTTGTCGTGGTGTAATAAGTGATGACTATGATTATACTGGTGCTGCTCATGTGTTGAGAATAAGCCCAGATGACAAGTTGATTGAGTTACGCGTGATGGAAACACGAGTGCCTAATGACCACACTACTGTCTGAAGAGCTATTTCTGTGCCTAATGCTTGAAAAGAGACAGATCCACCTAGCAACAGCCAGGAGTCAACCTGCTTGCCTAAAAAAGAAACTTAAAAAAAAACTTTTCTATGTGTGAAGAAGGCGTGTGCGGCTTTCCATTCATCATGGATGGAAAATGACTGCATAAATTGTTCTATTCATGAATGTTTGCATGAATTCTATGCTGAGCTGGTCCCAGTCCAGTATTCCAGGATCCTGTGGCGTTCCAGTTCTCGGCAGGCATGGAGGTAAAGTCACTAAATTAAGAACTCCATCAGTGGAAGCCCAACTTCTCTGCCAAGGTTGTGATTTATTTCCACTCTGTCTAATCCTTATTTGCAGCTGCTATAGTATGGCTACCCAAACAGGTGCTCATTCAAACGCATAAAGAAACTAAGAATTCTGCTGCGAGTCCTCCACTGTTGCTACTTTTTACATCAGTTACTGGACGATTACTGCAAAAGAGCTTCTTCTGTAACGTTATACTTTAGCTTTGTCACTGCCGCTATTGCCAGACTCTCTTTATAACGGAGAGATTAGGCAAAATGTATTATTTCTAGCTGTTTCAGCTGTTTTTTTCCTTAGTTTCCTCTATTTGCTTATACAAAAAATGAAAACATCCATGGTAATTGATGCTACTTCAAATATTTGAAGCACTGCATTTTACAAAGTATTACAAGATACAAAATTGTTAGATGAGAAGGTCGAGCAAAATTAAAATCTTTATATAGTCAGTTAAAGACAAGGACTAAAGCTAAGCTGAAAAAAGACCTGGAATTTCTAAAGTTAGGACAACACTGCTTTATGATTTATTGATATGATCTGTTGGATTCCTCGGAACGGTGATACATTTAATCTGTTGATTACAAAATCAAAGGCATTTTTATTGATGTTTAAGCCTTGTGCTGAGTTAGTGTTGAATGATGGATTCCAAATTGTGTGGAAACGGTCTTTAAACACTTCTCAAACTGATTTAGTTTGATGGCAGAAACAACTGTTTTCAGAATCTATGTGTATTTGATTTTTCGGCACCCGATTCTTACTCAGACTTTTTTTTATCAAATGAAAGATGTGAGGCTTAGCTAGTATCTTAGATTTTACAATCCCCATTCGTTTACAGCAAATAAAATGTTACTGCATCTGTGTTTTTAAAGGACAAGCAGTAGGTCTTATAATGCAATGTCATACTCATCCCAGTTATACCATATACATGTTATAATTCCAGAAAACTTTTCTCCCTCTAATAACATTTTTCTTTGAATCCTTTAAAGCCTTCAGCCTCAGTGTGCTCTGACCATGATTGTGGCTCAGTCTGTTGGAAAGTGTACCAAAGTTCATTAACTACATTAGGTAGTGTTACTCTGTTTAATTACAATAAACTGTAAATAATAGTTTCCACGCTTTCTGTGAACCATTTTGCTCCTATCAGCTTTGCAATCCTCTGTTCCAATTGAGCAACCTCCTTGATGACTGAGTTATCATTCATGCATGCAGAGAAGTGCTTGTGATTATAAGCTCATTTTTCTATTTATGGTCCTCTCCTTGATCACCAACTATGCATGCTCTTTGTGGCTAAGCACAGTGAGATGTGAAAGCTGATGAAAAGGAATCAAGTAGTAATCCCCTGCTCGCACAACCTGTCTCGTGTAATTATTTCAGACCCTGCAACTCCGCAGCACCATTGAGCCACGATTTACTCGCTTGCTTATTGATCTTCCCTTTTTTTTGTCACAAAAGCTTTTACTCAACATGAGGTTTACCACAATGCCAGTGTTTTATGAATAATGTTTCAAAAACACTTTTTTCCCCTCATAAATGTTATTGTGGATTTCGTGACCACAGCTTTATGGAGTAAACTTGATTGATAGTGTGCATACCTTGATCTCAAATGTGATAGTGGATTACCATTTTATCTCCCCGTCTAGTTTATGGATTAACAAAAGAGTATGGCTGGAACTAAGTAACATGTTTCCAAATAATCTGCCACAAATTACAGTTGAAGCCTCTGGAAATAAGGCTTGTTTGTGATTTCCTTGCATTCTTGGCCTGAGGCACTTTTTTGTCTTATTTTAGACTGTCTGTGATGTGCATTAAAGGATGCTTCTATCAGATTGTCTGAGCAGAAGATGTAAGAAGACCACCATGCTTGATGCCAGCAGCAATGTGGGACTTTGCCTTTGCATGTCTTTCAGATGCTTCTTTTTGCATACAGAATCAAATATAGTGAGGAAGGGTGTCATTATGTGGAGTGCGTGATCTTAAGATAAAAAAAAAGACTGAACAAGTTATAACATTTATTATCAAAGAACTGCAGTCTTTACTAAAATACATGGAGCAAGACATGATTTCTGACAGCCTCTTATTTAGATGTATAGTCACCAAGAAGCACAGTTATGTTTTCTTATTCTTGCAACATCCTGACTTATGCTTTTTCTTCTCATTCTGTGTCCTGAGGTAGTTTGAAACTTGAATCAGGGTAACTTCAGACTCATCTAAAGGCTGAAGAAATATTCTGTGTCTGTGATGTTATCACAGAGATGCACACATATCAAGCTGTAGCTAGTTTTTGATACAAGTTTGGCTAGGTGCATTTGGTTTACATTGGTTTGCTCCTTTTTATATCTTTTGTGATGACATCATTTTGCATCCGGCTGGTTTCCCGGACGAACTAACTAGATGACAGACTCCGAAGGCTTCTGCAGATCAGAAAGTCCCTGAAATTACATACAGTAAACGTTCAACTTCAAAGTTGCTCTAACTGATGTGTGGAATTTGGTACAGCGTTGCCTTCGAGGGGCAGCTTTATTTGCTTTTTTATATGGTGCCACTGGCACAGCCAGGTGACTCACTGCCTCCACGGCCGACCATAAACCAAGATCTGTGCTTTTTATCCCAAGTCCCGTTATGACCACCCTATCGCTTAACCTGCTAAGTTATTTTTTCACTGATTGAAATGTGAAGCAATAATTAATGCAGCTAATAAAAGGCTTTAAAGCAGACATTTCTTTTGAAAAGCTTTCAGTTGCCCAGCATGAGGTGGGGACCTTGGAGAAGTTCACAGAGACCAATAAGACAAATGTCAACATACTTACTCATGAGGCCAATTTTAAGAGGAGATAATTAACCTTTATGGATATTTCAAGATGTTAGGAGGAAGAACCCTTGGATACTTGGAAAGAACATCTAAAGTCCAAACAGAAAGGCCCCAGCTGTTATCCGAACCCTTCTCGCTGTGAGGTGGCGATGCTAAACTCCGCCTCATGGTGAAGCTTAGTTTTCCAATAATTGTTTCAAGGGCCTTTGAATCCAAACTGTTTTCTTTAATTAGTTTGCCTCTGAATTTGTAATGCCACCCGTTTCCTAACTACTTTTCCTGACCTTGTGTCATAGTTTATTAGTATATCCAAAATGAAAGTAATGTATTTGCCTCGTGGTTAGCTCATTATCCATCCAGATAATTGCATGCTAGGTATCTGAAGTCATATATTGAAGGCACTGCCAGAGGTCCAAAATTAATCTCACTGCCCAGCCCATTGAAACAGGAATATTTTGAACCTGTAGACAAAGGAATTACATGAATTGGGATACATTTTTGCTTTTAAAAAAAAAGTATTGTTTGGACATATATCTGTGAATTCAGACAGACTTTTTGCATATTCTCATCCTAATCACCACAATTCTAAAAAGAAAGAAATTAACAGTCAAATCGATTAAAGTGGAAAGACATTACTTTAGTTCATTCTTAAAACTCTAGATTGTGATGGGGCAGATGAATCCAACTTTGCTTCTGTTGTGATCACATGGGTGTTATTGTCAGAGAAAAATAACAACGTTTTACAGTGCAAATACAGAATAGACATTGTATTTAGCCAGGCCCATTGTTTGTGTAAACCATGTCAGCATTAGCCTGTCAGCCCCTAATCAGGCTGCAGTTTATCTTGTCAGCCCACGGGAGAGCCATTTAAAGGAGATTAAATGACTACTTACGTTGCTTTGCAGCAAAAGGATTTACACATTTCTTTAATTCATTTCACTATATCTACATTTTTTTTGTTATTAAAGGATACAATACTACAGGAACAATAAAAGAATATCAATTTTACACTTTCTGCTTACCAAGGTGACATTGATCTATTTATGCATGGCTGAACAATCCATAACCAGAAGTACTGAAGCTCAATCATGAGAGTGTATGAATATTTTCCATGATTGATTAGATGAAGGGATGGCTTTTTTTTTAAATAACTTGAATAGCTTATCTGATGTCTGAAACTTCCATAGCCCTATGCCCCCATCTCTGACATGTTCTGGACTGCCCAAGCTTATCATATCATTTACACATTTGGCTTCCGTGTAGGCCCTACCAGATGCTGTTCCTCCAAGTTCCTCCAACCGCTGCTGAAATAAGAGACCTCAGAGGAAGTTTCAGAGCATGTCTTACTTGGCATTTCCTGGTCAGGGACTGGACAGATTCTTTCACTCTGACTTGCCCATTCTGTCACATGACCTCCCTCAAGTTCACAGAGTTTTTATTGTGACTGTAGGCCTGGCATGTCGAGCATTTTAAGATGAAAATTATTTTTATTTACAATGCTCAATTTTCTGTACTATTTTTAGATTTCAGTCAGCAGCTGTAAATACACACATTCTTGCCAAAATATTGTTGATGTTCCATCTTCTTGAAGATGATGATGGGCTTGAGTGGTTTCTTTCTTCTCTCAGTAAACTACAACTATACGGCTATACAACTATACAACTGTACATGCAGTGTATACCAACAGTTTGTGAACACCAAGCTGGACCAAGATGGCACAAAATAAATCATCCAATGTGATTTGTTGAATAGATGAGGCAGCATAGCTTTACTTTAAATCAGGTTACAGCTTTACTTGCGTTCAGTTCTAAGTTGTTAGCTTCTGCCTCTTGATCCACTTTGCTCTTTATGGATTTGTTAGGTAGATTATTTTCTTTTTAATCACAGCATTGTTTTGAAAGAAACAAAAATAACAATGTTCCCTGGGTGGATCTGCACAGATTGTGTTGCTGTTAACTTAACAAAAGGTATCTGCAGGTGAATGGAGGAGGTCTTTGTTTTGCCTTTTGCAGATTTGAAATGTTATGATATGCCTCCTAACCCCAATTAAACAAACAACAACAAAAAAAAAACAGCGGTAGTCATCACATTGATTGTCTTTTGCTGTATGTGTGTAACTGCTCTGCAGCAGTGGCTTTGTGTCGGGTTTACAACATGAAAATGTCCCGCCCCTGAACACATCCTGTGCAGATATAACTGTAATCAATATCGTTACATAAATAGATCACGTGACTTATGGATCACCATTATCCAGAGGTCACTTGTAGATACTACTTTACAGAGAAATATCTCAGCTTCCCTTCAGCTATGCAAAACCTTCCAGTGTCATTGTTTTGTATTGTATTCTCAAAATAATAAAATGTAAAAGAGTGATTTTCACCCACTCTTTCTTGTTTCCTCTCTTCCTAGTGCTTGTTATTTCAGCAGCAGGCATGTGTTATGTAGTCTGACACATCCACAACAACAAATGATGAGGACTACAAGATGAGGGTCACAAGCTTTCAGATATGTTCAAGGATTTCTCTCGAGGAGTTGGCAGAGAGTAAAAATGTGACATCAAACCAATCCTTATTAGTGGTTATTTTTAGATGGAGGGTAGATCAACACATTTTCAAAGATTATGACATATGAACAAGTGAAATTTGTAGGTATACAGAAGTATGCTTTTATATCTTGCTCTTTAAATATCGTGTTCAGGAAAAATCAGCCAGTACATATAACTACACAATAATAGATACTTTGCTTTCTATGAATAGCTGGTTGTAGAACTGATTGAGTCAGTGTATCTCATAAGCAATGCTTTCAAGGCATACCATCAATTAAAAAGAGGAATAGGTACTTTTTACATTCATTTTTCAGTACGTTAAGCCGTAATCAATCCAACATTTAGTCATGACTTTTGAGGTATGAATATGAACTAGAAAAACAGTATATTGTTTAAACACATTTGTGCCAGTTTTTGCAAACTTTTGCTCACTGAAATATTGCATTTTCAGATGTCTAATCAGAATGTGTTTATGCAAATCAACAGTAAATAGTGTGTTTCCTGCCCCACCTGGAAAGGAAACTTTCTTAAAAGAGGCAGACCTGAACACACTGTCAAGCCCATAATTCAGCACAGCTAAACGAAATTTGAATTTCACTCTGTTGCACATATACTTACTGTTTTAAACATTGTTATTTGGTGTGTACTTTTGAATAAAAGCTCAAGATAGAAGTGGAAAGTTGTGTTGTGAAAAATTGAGTGCTTCACAAAATAAGCTGCAAAACCTCAATGCTGTTTTCTTTGGAAATGATAAAAAATATCAAAGAAGAAAATGGACAGTTTGACTGCTGTGTTCTCTTTCAGGCTGAACTCATTTTGACAGGCTTGAAGGTTTCCAGATTGGGTCCACCTGTGTCATTCTATAAGTGCCCCACTGTACTGAGTCTTCCAATTGATCCGGCACACTATAATTACTGGCTCCAGAGAAATGACCTTCTTTTTAAAATAGGAGTGGTGCACTGATTTAAAGTGTTCTTTTTCCAGGCAGGCCTGATTCGGACCGATAGCGGGGAGTTTTTTATTGAACCCCTTGAAAAGGGCCAACAGGATGTGGAAGTGAAGGGGAGGGTGCACGTGGTTTACCGCCGATCGGCCATCAAGCGGGAGCCAGGCCAGCGGAGGGACGATTTCCACAATGAAGGTAGGCAAGGAGCAGGAGTCTCACATCAATAGAAAAAAAAAAAAGCACTGCGTGAGTTTAAGTGTCGTGACCATGTGCATTACAGAGGACACATGAGTGCTCTGGTAGCTCACAGCTGTTGTATGACCAAAAGGATTCATCATTCTCCACCAGGCAGGGGAAACTTAGGTGATGTCCTCGAGCACCAAACCATGAGCCATCACAAAGAAAAACGATTTACTTTCTGTGAAAACACTTGTTCACTTTCATTTAAATGATCATTGCCAAGACATTCGGTCTGTTTTTCTTGCTGGTCTCCATTTATTTTTTGTATTACTATAATGTGTCACAATAATCTATTACAATTATCACATTGGTTATATCCCACAAAGTGCGGTCATGGCTTGTATTTCAACAAATAAAAAAAAATAAAAAAACAGAATTTCCAAGAATGATAATCATAGTGTGAGAATGATGTGATAAATGTAAAACAAAATATAAATGCAAAGGAAAATAGCCTCATGAATCGATAATTTAACAAGGAAAATAACATTGTTAATCTGAGGATATGTCCAGACTATAAAAGAGACTAATTAACATTCACTCAAATATACTGTAAAGGTCTGTAAAAATCCATCCAGAATTGTGAGATTAAAGCGAAATGCAACATCTACCAAGCAGTAGGTGAAAAAATCTGATAGAAAACGGTTTAGCTTTTTCTTAAGATTAACACAGTAAATTTCAAAGATGAAAACTTTAATGTTTCATGAAAATAAAATGCAAAATATCTTTCGAATGTGTGATTTGATTAGAACATAAAGTCACTTTTTGATGATGAGATTGGGTCTGTCTTGCAAATTTTGGAGATCTGATTTGTTGATATAAGCATAACCTTATGACTTCTAAGAAAATGTAACTCTTCAATCTCAAAATATAATTTTATCTTTGCAGATTTACAGCTTTAATATCATATATTCTAGAACTTTTTCTCAGAACTTTGCTGAGTGACTCAAACCAGCAGTCAGATGGTCTCACTGAGGCAGACTGCAACAGACTTCATCCGAGACATTTCTAACACACTTTAACACATGTCAAACTGCACATCCCTGCTTTTTAAATGTTGGGCCAAGCAAAAACTAGCTGGAGAATATAGCTCTGCTAACAGCCAAGGGAGGTAATCAGCTGCTCAGCTGCAGGATGTGGCCTTCTTTATTAATTTTACTGCAGTGCAATTTCACTTTATTTGTCTCGCATGCCCTATAAAATAGCATCAATCAGATCATACAAATAAAAAGCTCTAAAAGCATTTCTAATTTCTCCACTTGTCAATGTTGATTTACATAATAAAAAAGCACCAGGATAGTTTCTCATAGATTTAGTCGCTTCAAATAAACAGATAATCATCTTCAAGTAAAGCTTTTTACCCTCCTCTAGCTCACTGTTGTGGCCACAGCATCACAAACATACAATTATTCATATTAACATCCATAAACTTGCGAATGAAACTGCATGAGCAGTTTTTGGGTTTGCTGCTTTAACTTCACAGCTTCAAGGCGCTTCGTATGTTTATTAGGCACAGCAGCAGAGGCAGTGTTCACTAAACCAGCTGGTAAAATAAGGAATGCTGTGCTTCAGTGGCACTGCAGCGGACTGGGGAATGTGGGGGAAGCCAAAGAGGGGAGTCACTTTTCCTTCTCTGTCAAACAATCTAAACTCCATGAATTCCCTCTGCTTTTTTCCCCTTCTTCCTGGAACAATAGCCAGAACATCTGGTGGGACATTTACTATTCACACCATACTCTATATCAACATGACTGGTCTTTTTTTTTTCACCATTCTATAAAAATATTAGCTGTTACCTCTCGGAAATTATTATAATCAAAGCACAAATTTTAATATTTCTCTGTTATGTTAAATGACACAGTTATTCTGATATTTTTACATTAACACATTATTTAATGAAAGCAAGTAACAGACTGATATTTGATATGGGACTGTCCTTTATGAATACATATGCATATTCACTTCCCAACTCTATGTTCACCAACTATTTTTCAAGTTATTGTGGGGACATATCTTGATTCCCTGCCATTGTCTGTCCACTTATAATGGGTACTGCAGATTATCCCATGGGTGCTTTAAACAATGAAGTGAGAGCCGAAAAAAAGAATGTAAATGCACCATCCCTAATTTTCCTCATGCCTCTTGGGTAAGATCTTTCATCTTAACTCATACTTGTCTGCATGGACTGAAAAACTGACAACCGACCTACTGGTCTGCCTCTACTGTTGGATACTTAGAGCTTTAAAAAGACCAGTGTAGATACTTTAATGTATTGGTTGGTTATAAAGTTATGTATTACAAATTTTCATCGAGTCTCTTTTGAAAGGGGAGCTATTACTTGGGATTAAATCCCATAGAGACCAAAAAATTAGGATATCTATATGACAGTGACTGGTAAATTGCAGAGTCCTTAAACATGCTGATTAAAAGTAATGCTTTACTGTCAGTTTTGTTCAAACTTATGTAATCATATTACAAAATGAACTGCATGTCTTCTTAAAGAAATACTGGTTAACCAGTGAATCTTGAGGAAAACATGCATGACTATGTAAGAAATTGAATTAGAATTAGTGCTAATGCTGTTATGCCTCTTTGGTAATTCCCACATGACAATCAGAGAAAACTCAGCCACCAGTTGTGTAGTACTCATGTCAAGCTGCCATTGTGAAATTAACTGAGTGACAATGTCTGACTTAGAGAACATTCTTAGTTATTTCCAATAAAAATGTTAAATACTATTATTACAAAAAAAAGCTTGGGATAAAAACTTTTTTTTTTGTCATTACCTTGTCAGTCCATTAATGTAGCTGTTTTACAGTTTTGTAAAGTGATGTAATTTACCTCTGTCTAAAGAATAGTCCAATTTAGCAGCTTTATATGTAATTTACTTCTTGGATTAGTCTACTTATCAACTATTCATGTACATTTAGGATAATTTGCATTTGATTTATCTTCATAGTGATTTGCTTTGTAGAAATTGTTAAATTATTCTGTTCTTGGAAGTTGTACTGAAATGATCTTAGGGTATATTATCTCTAAAAATATGTCATGGTTATTTTCTAACCAAGCAACGCTTAGAATAATTTGTCCATATTTCCTGTAATAGCCTTAATTAGATTATGAATAAAAAAGAAAAGTTTCCATTATCTTTGGCAATAAGAGGTTCTGGGTGCTTCTTAAATATATTTTATCAGCTCTCTTTATCCTAATGAAATGACAGCAGTTATAATATAAATCATACAGACATCCATACATATGCATAATTTTACCTCACTTAAAAAAGATGTCATCCTACTCAGACCGTTACATCTCATACTGTCTGCCATGGCCTGTCTCTGCAAAATCCAGATTCACACTTTCTTAGATTTCGTTTGAGTGTTCGAAACCCAGCCATTAATAGACAGGAAAGTGTGCTTGAATGTCACTCATCCAAAAACAACTCCAGCACACGGGTAAATGTTATGTTCACACGGTGTGAGCCAGCAGGGATTCGTGCACATACTAAAGGGAGCTTGCATAAGTGGCAAAGAGAAAATCTTTGACTCTACAGTTTATAAGTCTAATGGGAGCATTTTGGCTTAAGATTCTGCAGCTTTAAACAAGCGGTCATAACTGCCCTGACAAATATTCCAAAAGATGATATTTACTCTTCCTTCGAGCCACACAGAGAAATTTGTTTTTGACAGGTTTGACAGAACCATAAATCACCTCGTAGAAGCTAAAATAAGGAGGATACGTGCACGCGGCAGATTGCGGCAGTCTGTACACTGACTTGTTTATGTTCTGCTCATATCTCGCAGTGGCAGACGTCGGAATCGCAGACCTCCCTGCAGCTCTGGATCTTGTCAAACATAAGCTGTCTGAGTCAGAGCGCAAGCGGAGACATGCAAAGAAAGATGACTACAACATCGAGGTGCTGCTGGCTGTGGATGATTCTGTGGTGCGCTTCCATGGCAAGGAGCATGTGCAGAACTATGTTCTCACCCTAATGAACATAGTAAGTCTCCTCTTGGATGGAGGGTTCCGTCCAGTGGTGGTGTGATAATGCAAACTGATTTAGATATATCAGTAAAGGTTGGCAGTGAACTATACAGATGACAGTTTGATGAAGGGGACGATAATACCCGTAATTGTTTTGTTGAATTTAGAGTCCGACTTTACTTGGCAGGGAGGTGACAACCAGCTCAAGAAAGAACGTTGCAACACAAAGGAAAAAAAAAACATGACTTTTCTAAAGCACCCAGAAAAATATCTTAGTCAAACACGTAGTAGTAACCTACATATTATTGTATGTCATCTAATGATAATAAATCTAAGGGCTTTATAGAAGGCATCTCTAGTTTTCTAGCTCTGCCTTTTTACAGTTTCGGCTTGATAAGCTCTAATGTCGACATTAAGTGAATCGTTAATGTCACACAAGGATAATTTATGTAACAAGTGAGTCACTGAGCCACCACATTCTGCAGCCCGTTTAGTTCATCGTCACCTGTGAGCTGCAACAAATATGCTGCTCACAAGTTCCAAGGGGACAATTGTTGTTCAACCTGGGGTGAAAAGTCGAGGCTGCAACCCTGCTGAGATTCAGTCTTTCTTCAAAAATATAAGAAACAGACAGTTCAAATTATATTCTTGCAAAGAATGAATTCTTCTTGCTTTGAACTTGTGATACAATTTTTAATTATTTGACATTGAATGATATTGACAGGATTATTTTATATTGAGCATGGTAACAGAAAAATCTAATTTGATCTATATATGTTTATCTTGCTTAAGGCCAAATTTGACCTGGCCATAGCCAGGTCAAATTTGACCTGGCTGTGGCCATTTTCCTCCTTGTGACATCAGGCTTTGCCACACTTTCTCTTGCTGTTGATGGATTACCAATGAGAGAGGGGCCAAAACAGAAAACGGGGAGGGAAACTCTCAGCTCATTTATTATGGGTTCCACCAGCTCCTACCACCATAATCTACTTATTAGGTCCAAATCCCCCAAGTCAGATTTTCACAGGGAGCTGGTTTCACTCTGTAACAGTTACCATTTGGACCGCGCATGGCTGTCTGATTAGCTGCACTAGACCAGTTAGAAAGTTGACTGGGAGCTGTGCGAGGTAATCATGAAAAACAGAGCCAGAAGTCCGCTCACATTGCCAAGCTCCTCTTACACAGAGTGATGTGTTTATTTAAAAAGGAAACTTTATTCAGAATCTCTTTCAAAATGTCTTAAACAGAGAAAAAAGTCTGACTTTTACCAACCTTGATCGTACTGTGAAATCATAGTTAAAGAGCACTCTATCACATTGAGTCAGTGATGTCTAGTGCTCTTAGAAGTATTTCAGATCACTGGTGGAAGGAGAGTCAAATTTGAGGAACTATGTGGAGTAAAAATTGACAGAGGTATGTTGTTAATATGATCACTTTGAGAGCTCTTTTCACATTTCCCACTTCATACTGGGTTCATTTTGGGAGAGAAAAGTGAAACTATGAGAAACAAAAGTGCATTTTTGGAAAATGGGGATCAAAATCCTTTAGCTCCACTCATAAGCCACAGGCTTGCTGTGTCTGAAAGAGCTCTACCCACTCAAATCCTTCTGAATCCCGGCTCCGTGGCTGCAGAATCTGTAGTACCACCTGGAGAAACTCTCCCTGAGGGATTGATTACTGGACATCCTGTCAGCGCGTAGCCAAAGGGACTGCTCAGGTCCCTGCTGCACAATGGCCGTGTTGTTTGCCCAGGGACCAGGTTTTGTCCATGTCAGTGTGATTCTGTACACAAGCCAGGAACACCTAGCGCCTGTAACCTTACAGCTGCTAGTCTCATTTTCGGCCACAAGAGTCCCATTTCAGCCCCTCTGTTTGCTCCTCCTGGCTTTGCAATTATCTCTGTATATGTGGGGTTTGCCTGTCCCCTGGCTGGAATCACCAGGAATTCTTTTGCAGAGATTGAATTTGTGGACCTGAGTCCTGTAGGAGAAAAGAAAAACTCGATTTGAGTGTTTTCTACTATCATAATAGAACTTTTTATTACACTTTGTTTGATGCTACACTCTTTCCCAACAGCTGCTCGGTGTCAGAGGCAGCATGAACAAATGTATGTAGGTCAGTATAGGCCCAGTTGAGGAATTTGAGTAACAAATCCGTGCAAATTTAGGGTCACTCAAAGGTTATTTACAGCATTCATTGACCTAAGTAGGCGTCTGTGAACGGAATTGCTTAAATGCCTCTGGTGTAACCTTGCACCCAAATTTGGAATGATGCCAAAAAAGTGTTTTTTTCTGTGACAGAGCTTTTGCCAAATGAAGATAAATGGCAAATACTTGCAGATTTTATTTAGTGGAAAAAGTAGCATTCTGACATTTTTTATGAGTTTTCTCGAGCCATTGAACAAAGCACAAAAATTTCATGGCAAAAACTAAATCCTTTTGAAAGCCACGATCCATCTTATCGCCCTGAAGTTATTTCCTTTTTGTGCATCATGTTTGTCTCTTCTACATAATCGTTTTACATAATTGTTTTTGTGTCAGCTCCTCTGGTTTGGGATAAATTAAATCGTTGGACTTCACCTCCAGGCTTACTGTCCAATGATACTAATTACTCACATGACCTTTGATAGACAAGTCCTGTGTTATTGAGAGGTGTGTCCCTACCAAGAGGTTATCAGCAGAGTGTTATAAGCATGAGCAGCGAAATGTCAATATAAATAATAAATCATATTTTGAAAGTTGGTAGACAAAGGAGGTTGGCCAGTACTACACGGGGCTCCAGTTTAACCAAAAAGTTATCTTTCTAATTACTAACTGTAAGTAGTAGAGAAAGTTGTTGGGTAGCAAGATCGTAAAAAATGTTGAATATTGAACGAGTCTCCAGAATAACATCATCCACTCCTTTCTCCTGTGTACAAACTGTTTCTGTGTTTACATCATCCTGAAGGGAAGTGAATAACGCATGAAGATGGAACTACGAAAACATAGTTTTGGGATGATCATGGATTATTAATGCTGTGAGTTTGTAAATTTAACAGTATTTCACAAACATCCTAAATGCGAAACACTCTCTCTCACTGAATTAATGGGGCTCTGAATAAGTGCAGACATGCAGCCACCAGCAAAATACCACGCATTAGCAGAGAGTGGGCTTGGAATTTGAGTTGCATCTTAGTCTGACCTGGGTTTTTACATCTATCTATGATAGCAGCCCTATGAAGCCCAAAACCGTAGCCGTCTACACATTTTGTGGGTGGACAGCTGTGTGAAGGTATTTTGTCACACAAGAAGAAAGGTTTGTTTTTATATGGCATTAGAGGCCTCTTATTTTGTCCAATTTTGGCCTATTTTTTCTTTTAAGTAGGGAAAATAGAAAATAAATGGCCGTTTATTTGTCAAAATGTTTCTTCGTGAAACTACAAAAAGACTCATTTTACTTTTTTCTATTCTATTTTCTACTTTTTTCTGTTGTTTTGTAAAAATAAATCCTCTTGCCCTGTGAGTAAAGGAAGAGTGGAGAACCCAAAGGCACTATTCAAACTTCACAGGAAGACAAATGGATTTAATAAACTTTTATTGAAAACAAAACTGAAGCTGATGCAATGGCACCCAGTCCAGAACATATTCCTAAAAAAACAAAGAACAGACTTGCTTTGAGACGTGTACACAGCATGGATCTGGTGCTAAACAAAGAAAACCCAGCGTATATACACCGGAGGAGATGATTGCAAACAAAATGCAGATTTAGACCTGATGTATAACGAGGATGTAAACACAATGGCATGCACAACTGGGAAAGTTAATCAAAAATCATATGGAAATAAAGTTCAATGGGTTGCAGTATGCAAACCAACACCAAAACAAAGAAAATGATGAAAACTGCAGATAAGAATCGTTTTAGCTTTAGTTTAGAGGAAGCAATAACACTTTGCCACAAGGAGAGCGTTCTGTTCTGATCGGTTTCATAAGATTTCATGAGAGTCCCTTAGATATCTGACATCAGTTACAGTGGTTGTTGCTTTTCTTTCAGGTTGATGAAATCTATCACGATGAATCTTTGGGGACTAATATCAACATCGTCCTCGTCCGCATGATAATGGTCGGGTACCGGCAGGTGAGTGACACCATGTACTGCATTTTAATAGGCTTAGAAACAGTCGAATATCCCAAAAAAAGAAAGAAAAACTTTTAAAAAAATAGGAGTCATGCCTGGCAATAGTTGACAGGATAGTTTCAGAACAGAGAACAATGAAGTCCATCTCAAATGAGGCCAGCATAGAGAAGCCAAGGGAATATCTGGATTTTATTTATATGTGTGTTTCATACTTGGATGGGAAATCTTAGCAAACAAATTGTGTTTCCAAAGTGTTCCTGAGCCCTGTGTCTTCTTCGTACAGAAATGATTCTGCTGCTTGTGTCGCATAGTGCAGTTAAAGAAATCCCCAGTCAGTTTCATGCAATTACATGTTGAGAAACACTAAGCCCAAACAGTTCTCCACTGCTGTGTGATAAACCCTTATTTATCTGAACTTCTGAGAGACCCAACCTATCTGGGATTTCTTTTTAAAGTTTAGTCAAGTTTACAGAATTTCTACCAGCTGTGTCTAGTTTCCCAGTGTCTTTTTATTTCTCTGTGAGGCTGGCACCAAACCCCTATGAGCTGATATCTACTTATTCCAAGATATGAAATGTTCTTTCCAATAAGAAAAACATATTTTTAGTTATTCCCTTCTGACTCCATGCTGTTTTGATAACATATTTAAAGTATTTAAAACTATATATTTTGGAAACCTGTGTGTAAAGAGGAATGATTCCTTGTGAATTGAAGGAGCCATGCACTACATTTCTATGTCAGTTTTTGATTATCTGGTCAGCGTATTGCTTTTACTCCCCCAGATTTTTGACATTTCATATTCTATTTTGAATAAACTGTTATTTCAGACTATGTCTGAAAACAAATGAGGTACAACTTTTCTTAAACTCTGAAACGGGATTCACTCTCCAGTCAACGAAAAGTTTTGTTTTTTTGCTTTTTGTTTTTTATGGATAGGTGTTAGAGGCCTGCAGCAGAGTTTGGTCTGATCTTCTCTATTTCCAGGAGTATATAAGTATTGTATTGGAAATTTTACACTGACAAAGATGTTCACCTGTATTATACTCAAATACAAAAAAAACATGACATGTCACCAGATAAGAACAAATCAGGGTAATAAATGCACATGTTTAAGCTCAGTATCTGCTCATTATGTAAATATAGTGCTGTATACATACACTCTCAAACTGTCATATCTGCCTCTCCATATTGAAAAATTCAATGTGGATGGTACCTCTCTTGAAAACCAACAGAATTAATAAAATTTTTCATTAATTACTTTAACATAAGTGCGCTTGAAGAGCAATGTGAAAAGGAGCAAACACAAAGAAAACAGATTTGTCTGCTCTGTAAGCTAGTTTGGCGCTGAATGAAAGCATTACAAAGACAACATTTTGTGGTGTAAGTAGTTCTTTTCTTTTTCTGTCGTGTTGCCATGCTTTTTGTTAGCAGGTTGCAAGTTGCAGCGTACTGAGGTGTGATAAAATATGTCTTTTATGCAACGTGACAGAGTGAGTCATTTGCTATCTGTCTGTCTCTCCCGAAAAGCCTTTTAAGATACAGAGCTGGCTAATGCCGTCTGTAGTTTGGGTATTTCACATATAGCTTCTTTTTGTTAAAGTGGACACATGCTGATCCAGTTCCAATTAGATAAACTCAAACAAATGCATGCAATGCATCAGCTGCCCAGCATGTAGCCATCACTCAGAAAAGAAGGAAGTATTTTACAGTCTGGTTGGTCTATTTCTCCACTTCTCTTGTTATATGCATGTAGACAGAATGGATCATCCCAGTACTATTTCCTCCAGCAGTTCTTGTATTCAGACAAGATTTGTCTGAGAATAATACAACAAGTTGACATCCAATAGAAGCATAACAGTTTCCACCTTGACATTAGCTGCCTGTAAGGTGGCAGTTTGAGAGAAAAAAAAAAGCACACACCTCTACCTGCTGACTCCTAACCTTGAGTGATAGGCAAACATTTGCACTGACATCTATAGCCTTTGTAGAATCAGCAATGGAAATAACATGCATGTGTCTGGACTGTGGGAAGAGGCAAGGAACCTGCAGAAATTCCATGGAAACACAACACAGAAAAGGCACTGTGTGTGAAAAGATTCTGCACAAACACAATCTAAAACAAAGCTCCTTTCACACACACCATACAATTGGTATGATGCTGTATGTTCTTTAAAATGTTTTATTTATTGATGAAAATTATCCAATATTACATTTATTAGAGAAAAAAGTATTTAAAACTTTTGCCATCATTATGCATCAACATTGTTTGCAAAAATGACTACAACTTGTAGGGGTTTTCCTCACAACTGCTTGTTTTAGTTGCTTAAAAAACATATAGAATTCACTTATAATTCTTACTAATAATTGGTGGAACCAAACCATCCTGGCCCAACAACTTAGAATTATCTTAAAAATAACCATATCACCAATAGGCTAAAGTTGTTCAAACCAAGCTTTGTTTTTTTTTTTTGTTTCATCTGTCAAATAAACTATTAGATTTGTTATTTCAAATAAAAAAACGGAATTTTTCCTTTTTTTTCTCTCAGCTCCTTTCTTATCTTTTATCTTTCTTATCTCTTTTTTTCTCTGTGGCACTACCTTGCATACTGTTGTTGTACATTTCCCACATGGTGATGGTGAACTTTTGAATATGAACACGAAAAAATTTGAATTGGTCTTTACATTAACTTTCAAGAATTTTGGCTTTCAAACACTACAGACAGAACTTTGGGGAATTTACTTACTCTCCAAAATAATTTACTAAAACTGCTTCTTCTGTCTAACATAAACAAGAGTATCAGAGAATGAGAAGAGCCTCAGATATCTGATAAATCACATATGGATTCTGCTTCCATGTGTCAGCTTCACTCTAGTTGTAGCCGTGCAGGTATTCACTTTCTTTATTTCTTCTTGGGAATTTAATCAAAAAGTTAACTCCTTTCATAAATTTTAAAGTAAGAGTGTTCTGTGCGAGAGTGAAATGTCAGAGATTCTTTTTTAATCAGAAGAGGACTGGTGCCCTGCTATGGGGATTGACTGAAATAAGTAATAACATTCCTGCTCAAGTGCTGGTCTTCGCTGTTTTTGTCGTTCTGCAGTCTATAAGCCTGATCGAGCGTGGTAACCCATCCCGCAGCCTGGAGCAGGTGTGCCGGTGGGCCAACACGCAGCAACGGCGCGACCCCGACCACGCAGAGTACCACGACCATGCCATCTTTCTCACAAGGCAAGATTTTGGTCCCGCAGGTATGCAAGGTACTGTATTTTTTCTCGATCGAGGCCTGTGCAGACTGAGTGCTGATATCTGCTTCCATTCACAAAGGGGTTGGCTTCAAGTCTTGCCCAGGTAAGGTCCATGGAAACTTTAATGTGGGGGCAGCAGCCAAAGGGGGACCCACTGCCAACGGTGACCTCACAGAAAAATAATGACAGCTTTCCAAAACCTTGCTGACTTGACATTGATGCCACCCTTGAAATTTGTAAATCAAGACTGATGGAAGGTTTTTGGCATGTGGAGAAAAAATAGAAACATCGATAAGTTAGACTTTTTTGTATTCAGATGTACAAAGTTCAGAATTTCCCTTTCTTAACTCTTAAATAATCATTGGAGTGAATCCAGATAATAATGCACATGTATGGAAGAGCTTTGTACTATACATGCCTTCTGTTTGTCTCACTTTGTACTTCTTCTTTTCAGTCCTTCAAAACTAAACTTGAAGTGAGCAGCCAAAATCTCCACAGAAATCAGGTCCAGGATGAACAAGTGTTTTTCCGAGCAACAGCTCAATATCTCGCTCTGACCTGTGTGTATTTTTAACTTTTAAAGCACATGTGTCATGTTCAGAGGACGGCCTGAGGGTACCTGGTGTGTCTGTCACAACCCACACCTGTTGCCATGGCGTTTGTGTTGTGTTCACAACAAGCCCGGTTTCTATGGCACCTTGCACTGTTCTGGTCGGGATCATTCGCTGTGTCTCAGGGTCACGAGGAGACATCACACTTTCTTGTCAACGCTTAACTGTGACATGGTAGATTCTATATCGAGATACAGTTTTTTAAGCTTTTCGGGAAGCAAACTTTGTCTCAAATGGGAACCATTATGTGGTACTACTTTGCTGTAATCAGTTATTTTAAGTGTTTTCTAGTGTTTTTCTTGTGACTGAATGATTCCCCATGCAAGATGTTGAGGGTTTGAGTTTAAACTACCAGAGGAGAAACCACTTCACTCCACACTGTTGTCATCAGCAGTCTGAAAACATGTTTTCAACCATAGTTGCTGCTGCTGCTGCCACTTTTCGCTTGAATGTGCAAAGCTCAAGAGCTGGTTTCTCATGGGAATGTAATCCAAATTCTCCTGAATTCCCTTTATCTGCTTGTCAGATAAAGGTTCATACTCCATAACTGCTTCCATGTTTTGCTATGTCATTCACGGCATCAATATGCTCACCATTTTGTCATTTTTAAAAAAATAAAGCCTTAAGTCGTCTGCATCGACAGCAGTCTTGACAAAACAGAAAACCCACTTGCTATGAAATAGTTTGCTGCAGACTCTCTTTTCAAAACCACCAATATAACCTGAAACACATTTTCTTTTGAGGCTTTATCACCGTCTGCCTGCCTGCTATATTTTCTGCTTTTTACCTGCATGCCAAAAAGTCTTCTGATGGTCAGAAAGCATGTAAATGATCAGAAAGCAGCCGAAAGAAGGCAGAAACGAGCGTGCTTCTGAACCAAACCAAACGCACTAAGCTGAATCGCTGCACATCTCTTGATCGAGTTATGTTTAATGTCTGTGCTTTGCTTAAAAGTTTGTTGCTCTGATGCACTGATGATATGATGTCCTGCCAGTTGGGTGCCTGAAGGGGTAATGATGACGACAGGCTTCTTAAATTCCTTCCATGCTTTTTATGTGTCCTCAGGAATGTCTCAGTTGGTGCTTGGTATTCATTTGTATCAGGCAGACTCGTTACTATAGTTTTTAGCATGTATTTTACCCATTGAACTACTTAGACAGAGCCCCATGATAATATCTTAGTCTGGATGCAGACCACATACCTTTTTTTTTTGAACAAAGACTTTATTTTATCAGATCAATATTCAAAATCAATGAATAATACAATAAGTCAGAAACAGCAGTTTCCAATACCACCATACAAACAGTTGAACAACAACAACCAAACAAGTCGGTGAGCTGAAAATCCAGAATTTTTTACATGGGGGGATGAAATAGAGGACAAATCTTTCTCGATTGACTATTGTCTTTATCATAACTGACCACATACCTTTGAACATAAACATAACATAAACATTGAGCTTTTTCCAATATATTTCTACTTTACATTGAAAAGATATTGCTGAGTGCAAACTTTTCTATCCAGTTAATGATACAACAGTTTATATCATACAGATGTTATTCATTTTAAGAGATTAAACAATCTTATTTAACTATTTATTAACTTGAATTTTTCTGAAACTGCACACATAAGAAAAACATTGAATAACCATTATTTTCTCAAATTTTGCCCCTGTAGGTTTGTCATGTCTCACATAGAAATAATCTTACAATTTATTGTGCTGCGTGAGAGTTCCCTCCGTCACTTTGGTTCTTGATTGTTAGGGCTGTGTGGTATTTTTGTTAATCAGGTTATGCTCCGGTGACGGGGATGTGCCACCCACTGAGGAGCTGCACCCTGAACCACGAGGATGGCTTTTCCTCTGCTTTTGTGGTGGCTCACGAAACCGGCCATGTGTGAGTAACTGTTCTGTGATGACAGGCCCAGCAGCACCTCACGGGGTCATACAATATCCAATTAGGCAGAAAGCTTCGCACTGTGCTGTGTGCTGTGTCTAAATGTTTTCCTTTATTGTGGGTTTTATGTTGGGAATTTTTAACTATTCATAAATTCAGTAATACATATGTTAAAATGTGTAACATAAAAAGCATTATTCTTATTTAAAGACTTAACTTTAATCCTGGCATTTAATACATATGATTTATTTAATCTATTAAAGTTAATAATGATTCAGGGGAACATTGCCTTAAAAAAAAAAATTTTTTGCTTTTGCAATCCCTGACAGATGTCAGTTTCTTTTATGTAAAATTATGTATTTAATCAATTTTTTCATCCAGAAAGCTCACTGTGCTTACTGAGTCCAAGTCGTGGGTCGTTTCATCAAAACAAAATACGTTTAATCAAACAAGCACCTTTGAACTTTTTCTGATTTAAAATGTATTCCTCAGATTTGAATACCCGTATCAGTCTCTTGAGGATTAACCGTTATCAGGCAAATAATAATCCTTTTAAGATTTGACTGTCCTTAAGCAACAAAAGGATGCAGGAAAATATTCGGACATGCTGAAACAGACTTTCGCACATCCTCATTTACAAAGGCACCTTGCTGTCTTTCATTTTCTTTCATTTTAAACCTGTTGGAGTTGATTGCCTCCAGATACAGTCAGATAAAGCAGCTATTGATTTAATCGTCACAGTAGTGCTCATGCATTAAAGCATGACCTAACTGGTTTAAACCAGTTATGCCTTATCAAAAACATGCAGGTCAGATAGATTAAAAAACTCTATCCACTATAGCTTGCTTGATAGATTTAAGCCCTGTGACAGACTTGTGGCCTCTTCATCACATTTTCTGCCTCTTACCTGCTGGGCCAATCTTTAGCTTGTAATGAACTGGATCAGTTACAGAGAACTAAAGGTGGTAGGGTGAATACATTAAAGTGATTATGCTTTTTAAGAAAAGAAAATGAGTTTGAAACAGATTCAGATGTGAAAAAGCACTAGCTTCCTCCTCAAAATGCCATTTTTTAATATTGAGTGAAATAACTCTGCCAACTGCATAAACAGATGGTTAGATGGATAAATAATTAGATAACTGAATAGTTTTTTTTGTGGGTTGTTAGATCTCATAGTTGCAAGGCATAACGTTCAAACCTTTGCTATGTTATTTTCAGACCTCCTGTGATGGTATAATTATCTGCCGGCTTTTTGGCTTTTGTTTGTTTGTTTCAAACTGTTTCAATAAACTGAACTTTGGTTTTCTGACCACATATTTTGAAATCCATCACCTACCTCCTGCTGTGAGAGATGGTAACAGTGGAATACCTCATTATTTCAACAAAGAAAAAGAAAATACGTATTTTTAAAGCGTTTATTAACCCCAGTGAGGCTTTGTGTGAATATCAGACTGTTTGAAAGGGACTGAAAATATGGGATAGCCATTATGCTTTCTCTCCAGATAATCCAGCTTTCTCCCACTGTCCAAAAAGTGCATGTTACCTTGACTTTAAATTGATCTGAGAGTAAATGGTGGTCCGCCTGCACCTGTAATATCGTGCAAAGTTACCTTGAAAGTGTGGGATTTTTTTCTTTTAGCTCAACATCTAGTAGCCAGTCTGATTTAAAGGAGCAATTGTCATTTAGAGAAAATATTATTTTCTAAGGTTAGATAAGACAGTTGACGCCATTGGAAAAAAAATAAATGTTTAGCTCCCTTCAGCAGGCCGTTGATGGATTAGTGCTGTCTGCTGGAGCACAAATCAGAACATCCAGGGCCTTCTTCTTTCTCTGATTGGCAAGGCCTGTGCTCTGCTGCTTTATTTTCTTAGCAGACACATGTGTCTTCTCTGTTCAAATACACACTGTGTACAAATTTATTGCTCCCTACCTGCCAACAACACTATACACACTTGATGTTTTGAAACCTCCGCCCCCCCTTAAATTTTGTTGTACATTCCACAGCTCTTCCAGGCTATGTTCGGAACACCAGCAGGAGCACAGTCACATTGCGTTCTCTTTGAAAAAGCCATTAGAAAACCAGTCAGGATGCAGTTTGCATCAAGGTCTGCCATGACAAATGGGAATGTGGTGACAACATCCCTCTATGTTCCCAAATTGTGCTATTAACTATTAACTTAAATTTGAAAATCTCAACAGCCGAACCTTAAACTACTACAAAAGACAAAAGGCAATGGATGTTTGATTATTAATTTATACCCTTCAGTAATACCCACAACAAAGAAAAACAAAAAACTATTTTTGTCTTTGTTGACGTCCACTAAATACGTTTTCTCTCCTTAGGCTGGGCATGGAGCATGACGGTCAGGGGAACCGCTGTGCAGACGAGACCAGTATGGGCAGCATTATGGCACCGCTTGTCCAGGCAGCTTTCCACCGTTACCACTGGTCCCGCTGCAGCAAGCAGGAGCTCAACAGATACATCCAGTACAGTCCTCTTCCCACTCCACTATGTTTCAATATCTCTAGCACCCATCGGGCTCTAATGTAGCCCGTTTGTCGGCCAAACTCGGCCTGTTATTGATAGAATCTTTTCAGAACTCGTAGACCTTTTTCAGAGATTCTGTTTTCTTTATTTCTGTTTTATTTATGACTATGTCATCGCTTTCTTGTCTTCAGCTCTTACGACTGTCTGCTGGATGATCCCTTTGAGCACAAGTGGCCCAAGCTCCCGGAGCTCCCTGGAATAAATTATTCAATGGACGAGCAGTGCCGCTTTGACTTTGGCGTTGGTTACAAAATGTGTACAGCTGTAAGTCCTGCTTACCTGTAAACTAACAAAATACTGATTGGATTTATTTAGCTCTCTCTGATTAGTCAGTGCAGGTCAAACACGATAAAGCAAAGCAATTGGAAAAAGTTTAACATGTAAACATAACTTTTATTCTAGTTTTTAAAAAATCGAATGTAGAGTAACACTCTAAACTAATTTTCTGCAGAAAAATGAAATAATGAATGGTACAGGATCTTTCAATTGTATTTTAACAGATGAATTGTGTTTTCTCATTTAGTTTCGAACCTATGATCCATGCAAGCAACTGTGGTGCAGTCACCCTGACAATCAATATTTCTGTAAAACCAAAAAGGGACCTCCTGTGGATGGGACTGAGTGTGCGCCAGGAAAGGTAACAGTTGCAAAGCTGAGTTCTTTAACAACACTTCTGAAAAGGAAAATCCAAGAGCCTGTAATGGAGCTGCTGACCATCGGCTCTCTGGAGATGTTGACCTTTCAGTTTGCCCTTTAGTAGTTCGGTGTCTGACTGCTTTCCCTGCTGCATTTCTGTCCAGTGGTGTTTCAAGGGCCATTGTATCTGGAGGTCCAGTCAAGAGCCCGAGGGCCACGATGGGAACTGGGGTTCCTGGTCAAAGTTCGGCTCGTGCTCGAGAACATGTGGAGGTGGAATCCGCTCCCGCAGCAGACAGTGCACTAACCCTCCGTGAGTGAAGAAAAATTCATCCTAAGGAGAACATACTGACTCAAAGGCTTTCGCTGCACTACAAAAGTGTTATTGATTGGAATAACATGTTTACTGGGGTTGTTCATTTTAAAATAAAACACAATACGATTGGATTATATTAAATTTGACTCACAGATATAAAGAAAACAGAGCTGTTTTAAAGGTTTTCTCTACTGGGATATATATTGCAGTCAATATTCATGGCTACTTTCTGCTAAAAAGAAAAGGTTTACTGCTTTATTTCTTCTCTGCGTGTTTTGTGTTGGAATTGTAAAGCCCGCGCTGTATTGCCTGTTACTCCATCTTTCACTTTCATATGGCCACATTATATAATTGTCACATCCCTGGAAAACAATATACTGTGGAAACATAATATGGGCCAGGCTGCACTCAACTTGGCCACACATTTTGACTCAAAATCCAGCTGTGAAACCCCTGTTAAAAACAAGACCAAAGAATGGATTACTAAGGATTGGTCTTTGCACACAGTTCTACATATTGATGAAATTCCAGCAACTTTCAGACTTTTTGTAACTTTTGCATGCAGAAATTTTACATTTAAACTTTTGTTATGTCTTATCCACAAATATCTTCCCTGGACTTTTACAATTTGAGGGCTCTCTCTTAAAAGTGTAAAATCATCTAGCATACTTAAAACTGACAATCCACCCAAAAAAAAACACCTTTTGGATCTTTGACATCAACTCTCTTCCTACTGTTTTGTTTTTGGCATCGGTCAGACCTGCTTATGGTGGACGAGACTGCCCTGGCTCTGCTTTTGACTACCAGATGTGCAACACAGAGGAGTGTGCTGGCCCTTATGAGGACTTCCGTGCTCAGCAGTGCATCCAGAGGAGCAACAAATACCACAATAACATCAAGCACACCTGGCTCCCGTATGAGCATCCAGACGGTAAGTCTGTTAAAAAAAAATGGGGTGGAGTTGACCCTTTTTTTCTTCTTTAAAAAAAAAGAAGATTATTTGTGTTTTTTCAGATGCCCGTAAGTGTGAGCTGAGCTGTAGGTCAAAGGAAACTGGAGAGGTGGTGTTCATGAACCAGGTGATGCATGATGGGACGCGATGTAGCTACTCAGATCCCTTCAGTGTGTGTGCTCGAGGGGAGTGCCTGGTGAGTGTGAAATGAACTTTTTTGTGCCAAAAACAAACTTTTAAACCTTTTAATCATGGTGATATGATATGAAATCCACCCATTTCAATGAAAATCTATAACCAGTGTGCATGTGCAAGTAGGTTGAGCCTATTTTATAGACAGATGAATGTGAAAAACAGCGTTCTGCTCTCAAAAATTTCATTTTCCTCCTTCACTGTGAACTGCAAACATCTAAGTATTGACAGGTAACCACTAAGCAAAGACCACTGCATTGGGATACATTATTTCTAAGGGAATACTTTTTCTCATTGTTATAATCTATGTTATTACATTGTTATCTTAAAGCACATTAATATTCTGTGAACTCAAACTAAAGTACAAATTAAAACCAGACATTTTTTACATAATTATTCATACTAATAAAAATTCAACATGGATGGTTTGATTTCATAGTGCAATCACTTTATTCCTTCTCCATGTTTATATGCCACTGTGGCAGACTGCCTAGAGCGATGTGTGACATTAAATATCATTTCATTCAAAGCAAGCGTCGAAACCCATTTCACACAACTGCTTCATCCTGAAGTTGAGTTCTTTTGCAATGTTTGTGACCAAAAGTGCGCTAACCTCTGCACTTCTCTTACACACAAATACAGTTTCTGTTTTATCTCACTTTTCACCTTGGCCTTAAAGTTGAGGCTTGTACATTGAGACGTTGCGGGTGCTTCAGTATTTTGACTCCACTCTTGTTATGTCTGTGTCTCTTTGTGATATTAATTGATTTAAACTAGACACCACCCAAATCAAATCAATGCCATGTCCAGTCATGACGTCATTTTCCCAGATAAGTAGATATTGATGTGTGTAGAAGTCAGATGCAGCATCACTCAAACTTGATTGAATGTCTTTTGCTTTTCTCTCTTGCAGCACGTAGGCTGTGACAAGGAGGTGGGCTCTTACAAAGAAGAGGACAAATGTGGAGTGTGTGAAGGGGACAACTCCCACTGCCGCACTGTAAAGCTGACACTTACCAAGACCCCCAAAAAGAATGGTAATCATCACGTCCAAAGGAGTCAGTGCTGGAACTGAAGCCATTCATTCAGCTCACATCTGACAACAAATCAAACTCATCACTGATGCAGAAATAATTGACCGCCTCAGGGTCCGAAACGTTTGTGGGATTTAAGCTGAAACACGTTGCATCTTTTTGTCTTGCTAGGAATGTTTAAAATGTTTGACATCCCTATTGGAGCTCGTCACATTGTCATTGAGGAGAATGACACCTCACCTCATATAATAGGTGAGTACCACTCACACCGTTTTCCATCTGTGGAATTATTTAATGACACTGAGACATTTGATACTAACCTTTGTCACCCTCCATCCACTAGAAAGTAAAAAATAAATGATAAAACCTTCTTTAAAGTTTAGTTTTAAAGGTTTTTGCTTTTAAACTCTTAAATTCATCCCTCGTGGCTAAATGTGGTTATCTTAGCTTTTTCAAACTACAGTTAAAAGGTAAATGAGAATAACCTTGAATGAATCTCTTTTTTATTCTTCTGAATGGGGAAAGACAATTTGATTTCTTGTTGCTTCAGTTTTATGCAAATTATATTGATTTAGAGTCTAATGTTGCAAACTTATAAGAGCAAGATAAAGGGCTTTGTTCTACATCCAGAACACTACAGTATAGAATTAGTGAAGGGTCAGAAGATTAAACAGTTTCACAATACATAGCTCAAAATAGATCTTACTGTAGGAAAACTAGAAATGAACTGAATTAGCTAATTCCTTATTACATGTACATGGTTATCGCATTAGTAGTTGGGCTTTATTAATCATTAAAAAATGCTATAATGTGCGTTTGCACATCAGGGTACCACATAGATTGGGGGAAATGATTCAGTGGCCGCTTCAACAGTTGCAGCTATAATCAGAATGGAAAATGCCACAGCATGCTTGATCACAGCTGCAGTGGACATTGTGTTCAACTAGTTCGACAGCCAACTTTACGAATAATCTGGCCTACAAAAACATGAAGGCAAGGAGTGTGCCTCTTGAACATGGGTGGGCAGTTGAAACGCATTGAACAGTTTGAATAATAATGAGGTGCAGATTATTTGAAACACACTCCAATTCTATATGCAATCTTCTTCACTCAGACCCTTCTGCTCCATTTGTATTCAACTCTATCACCTGAAACTTTTTAAAGTTGTTTTCTTATGACCCTGGTTATGCTTCACAGTAAAATAAGATCCCAAATAATTAAGTACAGAGTCAGCGAGGATAAGGTTATGCATGGAAATTGAAGGTACTGGAGAGATGACATTAAAGATGACATCATTGATGCTTATGGAAATACCAAAAAATGAAAACTTCAAACTGCATTAGCACAGTTTTTGAGCCATAAAACTTTGTGTTCCTGGCTTGTTAATTATGACGCACATAGTTGATCCTGAAACTTCCCTAGATAGAACAATTTATGTTTAAGAGACTTGACTTAATTTTTTTCAAAATTTCAACAACCTTGCTTTAGCCTCTTTAACATGAAAGTATTAAAATTCATGTGCATGGAAGAATATGTGCAAGGCTCATAAGGATCTTTCAGTGGTGTTTCATCCCACAACTGTAGGGGGAGCCAATGATAAGAGACTGCCAAATTCTCTAGTGCATCATTAAATCTATGACATGGCTTAATATGTCAATTAACTTTATTCCCTCAATAACACCCAGAGGAATCCTGAATAGAGAGTTTTTCATCAAAAAAGGTCCTTCAGAACTTTTGGTACAGCATAAATATTATCCATGATGGGTGTACTGAATTATGAAACACTGAATTTCTTTGGCCTATATTTTCGATCCGGTGAAGATTCAGATGTTATGAGAAAAGGGCACTCTAAGGTTTCCAGGTATAAGAAGGAATAAAAAGATTCATATTTTGAAGATTACCGTGGCCCTTTGTGTGAGTGGAGTGAATTTTGGCATTCATCCAGGGTTGAATTCCAAAATTCTTCTCAGCTGAAATCTTTTCCTTTCTTGCCTTTAAATTGCCCATGGGAATAATAGGTGATAAAGAACAAAAGTGTTTGCTAACCACAGACATCTCAAAATACACTGACGTGATCCCTGCTTCGAAGAGGTTGTGTGACTGTGACAGCTTGAGTTTGCACTTGCAAATTCTTACAAAATATGTGATATGGATATTTTTCCTTCCCTCTACATGTTAATCAAGTGTCATTTTTTATTTCCTACAGCTGTGAAAAATCAAGTCACAGGGAACTTCATATTAAATGCAAAAAGTGAAGAGGCTGAATCAAAGACCTTCATTGAGAATGGTTTACAGTGGGAATATTCCATTGACAGTGAGAGGGAGACGCTGAAAATTAATGGCCCTTTGCATGAAGGAATTGTGGTTCTGGTGAGTATGTCAGTCACTGGATCTATACTTTTGCTATTCCTATGCTTCTTAAGCTTTTCTCCTTATCCATACTTTCTCTGCTTCGCTACAGGTCATTCCACAGGAGGAGGACATAAAAATTAGCTTGACATATAAGTATATAATACATGAGGACCTGCTACCACTCATTACCAACAATAATGTGCTTCTTGCTGAACTGGACACATATGAGTGGGCACTGAAGAGCTGGTCTCAGTGCTCCAAACCCTGTGGGGGAGGTCAGTCTGTGTAGCACCTTTTCATAATGGAAAATAACATCTTTGCTCATGTTTGGACAAAAGCAAAATGATCATTTTTCTATTAATGATCTGTTTGGATGTGTTGGTAGACTAGAATTCTTATTAAGATTTTTCTGACATAGACAGAAGCTGAATGAACAATCAATTGAAATAGCAAGAAAAGAAAAGTATTTAATTTTAATTTGAATACATTTGGATTTGAATTCCCCATTCAGTTGCAAACAAAACTAGCAAAAATGATTAACTCATATCTATGAATATAAACATCTTATTTGATTTGCTTTGCTCCGGTTTGGACAGACAGCATTCAGTTCACGTCGACTTCAAAACCTGATAAGCCATGCTATTAATCTGGCTGTGAAAGAGACTCAATTATATGCAGTACTTTTACATCCTCACTTTTGGTGGATTTGCACTGTTTATGACATTGAAATACAAACTGACCTTGCAGGTAAAACTCTTTTGTGCTGATGAAGGTTTTACTACACACTACTTTCTCTTTGAAAAAATGTTTCCTCTAACCTCCCTACTATCCTCTTACAGCTCAAATCCTAAACTTTGAGTCCTTAATAAGGGGGACATTTTATGAATTGTGCTCTTTTTGCATGACATAACTCGAGTACTTCTAGATTTGTTTTGACATTTTGATGATTAGCGTTTTGTATTCTTCAAATTGGTTTCTTGACCATCAGATGTCATGACCACTGTTGAATACTCGGCATCCTTTGAATTAAGACTCAATAGACTCACCTTCTACACTTTCATCTACCCCAGGTATACAGTACACAAAATATGGATGCAGGAGGAAGAGTGACAGTCGTTTAGTGCATCGCAACTTTTGTGAAACCAGCAAAAAGCCCAAACCCATCCGCAAACGCTGTAACATGCAGGAGTGCAGTCAGCCAGCGTGAGTGGCTGTCAACCACAGACACCCAAATGTTATAATTAAATTCTTAAAGTGCCCTGAAGTCCTTGAAAAAGTGCCTGCTGTGTTAACAGGTGGATAGTGGAAGACTGGAGTCCCTGCAGTAAGACCTGTGGGAAGCTGGGCTACCAAACTAGGGTGGTGCAGTGCATGCAGGCGCTCCACAACGGCACCAACAGGGCTGTCCACAGCAAACACTGCACGGACAGCCGCCCGGAGATGAGGAGGGTCTGTAACTACACTGCATGCCCCGCCCAGTGGAGGACAGGGGCGTGGTCTCAGGTAACCCAAATGATCTCCGCTTCTATTTTCTAATATGAATACAGTCACTCAAAAGAAAAAAAAATCTGGTTAAAGAAAAGGTTCTTTTTTTTTGTGCATGTTTGTGTTTACGGTGGGTGTCTGATAGTGCTCGGTTACCTGTGGTGAAGGGATTCAGCAAAGACAGGTGGTCTGCAAGGCAAGCGACAACACCGTTGGAGAGTGTGTGGGCGAGAAGCCAGAAACGGTCCTTATATGCAAATTAGGTCCATGCCCAGGTGAGACACACACATGCATTTTGCCAGCACTCATGAAATACTCATTTATACAACTGTCATTTATGTAATAGCATTATAACATAATGATATATACAGTTTTTGATCCCTAAATATCGTACCTACCACAAGTCTTTTTCGGAAAATACCTTGTTAATTTCAGCAAGTCAAGCTAATTTAGCAACTTAGCATCAGGGGAGAAAAAGCATTACAGAGAATGAAAGAAAGTACTGGAGCAGGCTCATTTTTGCATTCTTCCCTCAGTTTTTGAAAAAAGAATGCCTACATCGGACATATACTTTAGTTTGTGTCTTCTTCAGTGGCTGATGTGCACAAGGTTTTTTAAACTTGAAAAAAAAAAATGTTATACATCCCTGTTAGAAACATCAGATTTATTCGCACTGAAAAATTCTGCTTCCCGTCTGCATTTGAATCAAAGTTATAAATGTGTAGTTATCAAAACAAGTGCTCACATTAATCATTCAGTTCACATAAAAATGTGCATAGTCTGAAGACTGTGTAAGATGCTCACATTCTCAAGGCACATTAAAGTTCAGTTAAAAAAGGCAGGTGCTTGTCTTTCGTTTGTGTACCTGTAAATATATTAGGCGTTAACATTCACATGGCTTCGCCCTGTGATCCTAAATATCACTGTCTGTCTTTGAAATTGTTTTCTCTTGATAGATGCTTGTTATTTTTGTGTTTTATCATTGACACTTGAAACACTCGGTTTCCCTGTCTCTGACATGGCATCAGGGGTGTTGCATTTGAAGTCTCTGTTCATCCACTCATCCAGCATAGGGGCTTGTTAATAAAGTAAAGTCATGCTTTTTCATGTCCCTTCTACTGTTACCTGGGTATCATGCTCTCGCATTTATCCGTGCGAGATTTCAAGTCCTCTAAATGCATGTAGAGGAACCAGGAGAGTGGAGGCTATATAAACATAATGTGTACATATATAGATAATATACAAAAGTATAAACAAAAGGACAAGCACATGCAGTAGTTGAAACATTAGTCTGTCAAATTAATTGTATGGACTTAAATCACTATGCCCTAATCCTCTTTAATTCTCAGAAGATTTCTGTCCTTGATATGAGGCTTCGATTCAGATATATCTATGTGTAGGGAGCCAGTTTTTTAATAAATTTTTCTGATTATGTGAAGACACGTAGCATTCATCTAAAGTTCCCTTGATCTTGTACAATGTTTAGACAGAGAATTGTATAGAGACATATTTCAGCTGTTGCTTCATAACATTTTATTCTGATGATCACGCACAGCTTTCGTCACACGGCTTTTATCTTTAAAAAAACTGGTTATATGATGTCTGGCTGGCTTGCACCAAGCCTTGTTATGGATTCACCATAACACTTTTTCACATGACATTCTGATTGTTCTTTAAAGATCTGCTGGTATCTTATTTCTTGTGGTCTGACAGAATTAATTAATATTAATGTTTTTTATTGGTGTGGTTGTGTATTGTAGAATTGCCATTGTCTTCTGAAACAATGGAAAATTCTACAATGAAAGATGAAGCGGTGTATCAACAGGTTCCTGGAAATCCAGTCCAGAAAATCTCTTCAAGTGAGTATATTTGTAATTTTTACAAAAAAGCACAACCCAATCAATAAGATATTAACCTGAAAATCTTCATTTTAATTTTTTCCCCTAATATTTCAATGAAACTCTGTCTTCTACATTACTAGATGAGCCATGTCTGGGAGATAAATCTATTTTCTGTCAAATGGAGGTTCTTGCTCGATATTGTTCCATTCCTGGTTATTATAAGCTTTGTTGCGAGTCTTGCAACAAGAACGAGGACTTTGCTACACATGATTCTGAATTCTACAACACTGAACCTAAGAACCTCGCTCTCACCGATCATGCCGCGGACAAGACTCCACTTCTAGTCCCGACGACCCAGAGTCCACCACAAACCACTAAAGCCTTCGTTCGAATGCTGCTCTCCACTGCCGCCATGCCAACCAAGCCTGCTGCTGTTCAAGCTTCACCACCAACCGATGCTGTTCTGCTCCAGCATCCCACCTACGACTCCTTCCGCTCCGCAGGAAGTAGGTATTCAAATGTAGAGCCTCGTCTACCTCCAGGGCCGCCGCGGCCTACCGCAGACTCCAGAGGAGGAGGTGCCTTTAAAGAGCACAGTCCAAAAAGCACTTTAGACCCAGCTGCTGCTGCCAGGTCAAGAAGGGACATTGTAGGATCAGAGAGGGACTCAACTCACAGAACCCTGTAGGCTCAGAAATGAACAGTGAGCAATTTGTGAAAAATGTGCAGTGAGACTGTCTCATACATCACCTCTCTCTTGCATTGCCTAATTCACTCTAAGACTTCCTCCAGAATTTTTTTTTTCAGTATTTTCTTTTCCTCCATGCCAGTGAACTCAGACCAGCCCAGTGATGGTTACCTCATCAAAACCCCAGAGAGATGTGTGTGCAAACTCTGCCCATGCTCGGCCCTCTGCGCTTCAAATATGAAATGGAAGAAAAAAAAAAAAAACGAAGGTGCTGTAAACTAAACCAACTAAAAGAGGTGTTCAAAATGTGATGACTGCATTACTACATTCATGTTTTTTCTCTGTACAGTTATGTTAGCCTGTTTTTTTCAAGTGCATTAGAACTACTATTGAACTAGCTTTGTGAAAAATGGAGGTGCATGTGCCCGGTACACAATCTTTGCTTTTCCGTTAACCAATTATTGACCTCAGCAGTGTTGATTTACACTGAATTAATTGCTCAACTTAAATTTAGATTTGAATATATTATTTGAATTAACTTTGGGTCCTGCCACTTACAGATGTTTCTTCCCACTGGTTTAGGTCTATTGGATGTCCAATCAGAAAATACTGGGCCTTTTTAAGTGGAAACAAATAAATAGGATGTAAAATAAAGAGTCTCAGGTGACAACTGGTGCTAGAAAAGATAGTATGTTTTTCTTTCATTGATTTTGACATTGACGTATGAAATCCTTGTTCAAGTAGATGCGCAAAGTAGAATTATGAAAATGTAGATATGCATAATGAGTTTTTAAAGCTATTATTTTTGCTTTTCAAACAAATCGTAAATGTATAAGTGTTAGATTCTCAGGCATTTATACATTTGTATTTGTGGCCCTTGTCTTCAGTCCCATTGAAGTGAACTGAAGAGTGGTGTTAATTTTCTTAATTGTTAGTAAGACTGCGAGGTGGCAAATTTGTCAGAACTCCACCTAAACGCCAGCTCAATCTGAATGTTTTATTTTTCATCCAGTTAATCAAGTCTGCAATGTTTTCTGATGGCACATTTAAGACTTCACAGTCATCTCTCCTGAGAGGGAACCACATGACTTCTCTGTCTTTGGTGCTTTTTGGTCGTCCAAATCTGACATATTGATAATAATCCTTGGTGACAATAAATTAATCAGACTGCATAACTGTTTGCAAGCCAACTCCACCGTACTGTAGAATGCCCCTTCGGCTGTCTCTGTGGGAGTCACTTGACGCTTTAAGAACCTTTTCATAAATTTTGCTACGTTTTATCATAATTGACATGGTTTTCAGATAAAAATGTACATAGTGTAAATTTTGACTTATGAAAAGTTGTACGTTGCAGTTGGAAAATACAGGCAATGCTGTAAGTCTACAGACTGTGGTTGGTCTTACTGTCACATGGCTCCTACTTTACAGTTCATAACATCATTATGTTTATTGTATAGTTCTTGTATATACAAACGTGAATGAAAGCTTTAAATGTTAATATTTATTGAATTTTTAAATGGTATGGTGAACGAAGTAAAACACATTTGGAAAAACAAAGATGTTTTCTATTTCCCTTCTCCACAGCGACCTTCTCTCACTACTGTTATATGAAACTATCCACTAGGCTCTATAAAGGTATTTGCAACAGTTCCACCAGCTGAATGAAAACCTCCAGATCTAATTTGATGACAGTTTGAATCATTACGAGAATGTATTTTTGTTTTATAAGGTTATTTATATGTTTGCATATCAAAAGGAGAGAAGATCAGTTATACATGCATAATAAAACAACAACAAAAAGTATTTTTCAAAGTAAAATGCAGGGCATCATGTATAAAGAGACAAAGAGATGTCTCCTAAACAGGAAACCTAGGTTGAAGTGGCACAATGTGACATAAATTCCTATTGAAAACCAGTTTCCTTCTGTCAGGCAGGGACTGGTCTGTGCCAGCTGCTCTCTAAGCTGAGCTTCTAATTCTCTGGAAGGTTCCTGCAGAGTGTCCAGTCAGTCATTATGTCCCCATTTCTCTGTTCGCTCTGTATGCAAAGACAAGGTTCTGCTGCACTGTAGCTGTCATGCTGGCGTGGTCATCTCAGGCTGAGACGTCTGCGAAGGTGCCTGGTGAACTCCAGCTGTGCTCGAGGCAATGCCTGATTGACAATGGACTTGGGCAGCCATCCCTAAGAGCAAATTTATCTGAGTTAGACCTCTGAATTGTACTGCCAGTCTTACTGAACATTGGAGACCAGACACATTTAGAAAAAGGATCTATTTTGATACACTATGTTGAGCTTACAACTGCTTTTATTTGGATCCAAGAAAATGCATAACATACTAACTCTGGGGAAATAAAGGGTAATCTATTAATCATGATGCTCTTCTAAAGGTGAAAAAAAGAAGAGCATGAACAGGATGCTCTTATTTATTTCCATAGAATTAAAAAATATGTCTACATATTAAATGTTTTCAAACACTAAATTTCACGCAAAATTCTGGACCAGACTGGCACGTGCATATAATTTTCAGAAGATCATTTTTAGAATAGCTCATTACTAAAATAGGTAATGACTAAAAAAGCAGTTTAAAGCAGAAAATGATAAGCATTATTGTGCTGGAGCTCAGGAATAATGTACAAAGATGGCAAACAAGCACCAACATGAACACAAGATTGGAAACATTAATATTTTACTCGTGTATCTCTGGACAAAATACAAAACATCAAAGCAGATCTAATTAATTTACCTTGACGTCAATATTTAGAAGCCATGTGAAGCTGCTTTTTGTCGTGTCCCTGTCCAGAGCTTTAATGACAATGCAGGTGGGTCCATCCTCAGCTCTGTGCACATACAGAAAAAATCAACCAAAACCATTAACTTCATGTTTATTTAGAGCTGAGAGCTACATAATTTCTCTTCTTACTCATTTCTGCATTCCTCACATTTCGTGACATCTACCAAATAAACCATATTTCATCTCCCGCACCAGATGGACACAACAGCAGAGACGTAAGAAATCAAATACAAAGTGAATTTGAAGGACATTAACAGAAACTTTCGGGTCGAATGAAAATGTCAAAACAAATCACAATTGCTGTATTTTCTGTTATCATCGCCTCACATGGATAACTGAGATTAATTTTAGTCAGACTCCTTACCAAAACATGAGGCACAATCAGGCAAAGGTCTTTCTTTCAAAACCTGATGATTAATGACTAGTATAGATATAGCCTGTCAAGTCTGCAGAATGTCTCATACCTCACACAGCCTGCCTGAGGTGGAAATGACTCCAGCTCAATTGCTGTTCCTCCCAGGTAAACTTCCGATTTTCGTTTGCAGCTGTGTCTGAGGCTCAGGAAATCCCTTTGACCAATCAGATTCCCTGCTGTTTCAGCAGAAACCTCGTGAGTCACAATAGTTTCTGGTCCAACATGTTTTAGAACCTAGCATCCAAAAAAAAAGATACATTAGTTTCCAAAATGTGACCCAAGAGAGTGATTAGCTTGTGGCTCAATGTGTATTCTTTACGCATAGAAGGAACAAGCCACTAATGGACTAACTGCAGAACAAGGTTAACAACTTTATGTTCTAAAGGCTAAGAATAAACAAAATATTCTATATAGCAGCGTTGTAGTTTCACAGCTAAAAAGTCAATTCAATATCCTCCTGTAAGATGTTCAGAAGTCAGGAGCTCACTTTGACTTGCTGTATGCTTGGGTTCCACAGATGCATCTCCTCAACTCGAACAAACAACAGGTCATAAAGCTCATCCACACTGGCCTCCAAAATTGCCTCCAGCCTGAAGACTTTCCCAGCTCCCGGAATCACCATACTGGAGATTACATCCCCATTTTTCTAAAGTGTCGTAAACAAACCAACAATAAAACAAAATGAATATCAAAATGCCTGTAGTAAGTCAAATTTAGGAGCTTAATTAGTAGAAGTTACCTCTTTCATCTCAACCTGCCATCCCTCGTTGATCTCCAAAATGCCAAGAGCCTTTCGCATTGCTTCTCTGCCGCGTTGCACATAGAACAGCTGATCTTCGTTTCCTGGCTCAGGCTTTGTCACTTCTTTTTTGGGCTCTGCAAGCACAGTCTGCTTGTAAATATCCAACATGTGTAATGTGAAGTCGCTTTAAAACGGTGACGGGACTGCATTTTACCATTATAGCTCCAAACTGCAGGTGTTTCCACGGGACTCTGCACCTGTCCCAGTCGCTGTAGGTGAGTGAGCTCCTGACCTATGACCGCCACTGCTCTGCGCTGAAGCCCTGCAGAGTTGCATGGAAAAGGTAAGTCTCAGGCAGACCGCCGCGTCAACACCAACACACAGAGAAAAAGTCCCCTTTTCGAATATCAACAGCTTTTACCTGCCATACTCCTAAGGTGAGGATAGGAGATTCCACAGCAGAGCTTAACAACTGCAGGTAGCATCTTGTCTGCCTTCAGCAGTGACAGCAAAGTATCAGAGAGCTGCCGGGATCTTTATATGGCCTGTGAAGGACACTCCAACGAGATAAGAGCCACAGAAGAAGATATGGCCAGTTGAGGATTCTATCCTGAAGGCCATGCTCAACACGCCTTTTAATAACCAAAACAGATGATTGGGCCCAAGGCAGGGAGACAAAGTAGTACAAAGAATATATAGGGTTGTTCATTTGTGTTTTAATGTGCATCCTGAATAGGTACTCTACGATGACAAGTTGGTGGATGGGGTGGGGTGGATGGGAGGCTTGTTGCAGATCTGGTGGGGTGCCAATGATATGCTCAAAGGCTGAGTCCTTGATACAGGGGCCAGGTTCCAACCCTGGTCACTTCTTGTGTATAAACCCATTCGCCTTCTTTTTAAAAAGAACAAGGCATCTATGAGACTATGTGTAAATGGAAGCCACAAGGAGAATGTTCCTTTTACCTGATCATTTCTAAAGGCTTCAAACTCTGAACCTTAGGACGATCCCCAGTTAAACCGAACTCATCCCATAAACAACAGATTATATAAAGTCCCCGCGAGTAGTTTACATTTCCCTAAAATCCACGTCAATGTCTGACAGACGATGGAATGCTACAATTCAATGCTCGTTTTAATGGTGTATTTATCCAAAGAAAATGCAGCACTATAATTAGTTTTTTCAAAGTTTCTTAATTAAAAAAAATCTATATTCAGTATTTCAACTCCCCAGACTGCATTAAATGTCCTTCGATGCTGACTCAACATATTTTTAGTAGTCAAGCCAAGACTCCAGAAGGTCTTGACATCTCAGGAATGATAAGTCATCAGTCTGAATGCAGACTAATTGGGAAGTGGTACCTTCACATGAATTATTCATGCATCGGTCAGTGAGCTCAAGCTCCAGTTGCCACAGCCCAGTTGCACATCCCACAACTGCTGTCATTCTGCACCGCTCACCATTTCCTGTATATTGACAATTGTTTCTAACAACACAACACATATAGACGTCCGATTTATAGTGCCTGTTATCTATTGGACTCTTTCAATCAAGAACATCATCAAGCTGGCAGCTCAAAACAAACTGGGTGGCCTCTATGTCAGTTTGTAAGATATTTCTCTGGATTCAGTTAATATTCAAATAATGTAATTATAAACTAAAGTAATGATCTTCACAATTATGTCTTAAAATAGTTTTACAATTGAAGAATACAACTTACCTCCACATTTTGAGAGTGTAAATCTCTCTGTTCTGAATGACCACTTCAGGATGCACATCCAGTTATGTAACAGACCTTCTACAATCTATTACTCATGAGAAAAGTTGCACAAGGTCTTTTTTTCTGCATTGCACGTCTTAAAAAAATCCAATATTGATAATGTCTCATTATCACATGTAGTTTTTATTTGAAATGCACCAGTGTGCATACACTGAGTCCACCACTTACTGTTATTACTGTTTCATATCCATTGCTTTAGAGTTCTTGGTAGATAGAATTCCCTGTTTTTAAACAACAGCATGAACAAAGATTTTACAACTGAACACAAGAGAGCACAGTACATCTAATATCTCAATTATTTCTTCATAATCTTTGCTGCTGTCCATACCGTATGATAAACAATCTACATTTTGCATGTATGATGCTTTCTCTGTGTAAAGATAAAGTTTAATCTTATCATATAAACCAGGCAAGCCTTCGAATACGACTAAATTATCTTTAATGAGAGCTAAAAAATAAATATATATACAAATCAAATTTTCTCCTTTGTAAAGTTTTTAAGTATTGGAAGGTTATTGCATGTATACATTTAATGCTAATTAAATAATTGTATGCAGGAAAGTCAATTTTTAAATTAAAAGATATCTGGTTTCAATTCATGGCCAAGTCACTCTGATAAGTTGCATTGGGCTGGCTTTGGTTGCATGACAATTGAACTTTGTTGGTGGAAGGAGGCAGAAAACATTGGCTTTAATACTATCTTTTCTTTTCAAGGACATTCAGTCTTTTTAGAAGTGTATACAAATCTTCTTACTCTGGAAACCACCTGTCTCCTTGCAAACAGCTGTACTGGTGAATTTTATATTTTGTCTGAGAGTTGACATATATTTCTGTGTAGAGTCTGCATGTGTGTTTCTGCGTGTGGAGGGAGGGTTTCTGTTATATCTGTAGCATATTTGGTGAGCGGCCTAGAGCCGCCCTCTCGTCTCAATGCTGCCTCGCAGAAGCGCCGCTGATAGAGCACCAGGAAACAGCTGTCTCTTATCACTCACAGCCAACAGGTGTCCTTGTGAGAGGGATCCATGACGTAAATGATGAACTTCACCTGCTGACAAGTCTTCAGGATGTGTTTATGGATAGCGAGGATGACCTCTGACACCTCTTGGATACTTTGTGGCGGTTTGTGTGCTTCGTGTCTCAACTCACAAAATATAATTCAAATGTCGTTCGTCTGTAAGATGTTAATTAGAGGTCACATAAAAGCACGTTTACCACCACAACATCAGATAATTTGTCCTTTCCTTTTCAATATTTTCTACAAAAATACCTATTCAAGCTACAGCGTAGAAAAGAATGCATACCATCCAACTCTGCACAGATGTCACTTACCATGCAAATCTATTTCTTTATCTTAGACTAAGGCAGATTTTTTATATAGAGCTATTATGGACATCTGATAACATTGTGTAAATAAACCACCAATATATAAACCAGAGAAATCAAATGCGGAGAGAAGGAAGATTTTTCTGGAGGTTTGTTTAAGGTACGTGCAGCACAGTGGCAACATGGGTTGGTGCATTAGAAAATGCTTTTGGCTGTAATTTTGTAATTTTACAATTAGTGTTCAAAGTAAAACAGCCACTTCATGTATGTTACACATTACAGCAAGGCAGTGGCTTAGCTATGCTGGAGGCAAGCTGGTGCAGGAGAGACTATGGCATCCTTATTAGGATGGATGCGCTAATGCAAGATAGGAAACATCAACGAAAAAATCTTTTTCAATGATTGATTTATTTTCTGTTTTATTTTTCATTTTCTGTTGCATCAGGTTCTGTTGAGCATTGTGGAAGTCATGGCAGAGCCAAGACAAATGTCACATTTCACCCGGAGCATAACAGCAGCATTATTATTTGTGTTAAATTAACTTGTTTTACAAACGCCTAATAATCTACCTGTCTTCTAGACTAATTGGACTGTTGCTATGACAGCTGCGCAGATGTGTTGCCATGTTCCTTCACTGTCTTATCTGAGATCATATAAAGCATTCAAGCATCTGTTTGAGGGGTGATTAAATATTGTCTTGTGACTGAAATGTTAACATATTCATAGTTTTAACAGATTTATTTTTTTAAATAAATTGAAACTGAAAGTGTAACCACATGGATACATGCACGCATGCAACAGGTGATCATTTTCATTCAGATTTTTCAGTTGCCGATCAGATTTATTGATTATTTTCCCCCTATTTGCCACTAAACAGACATGCAGCAACATGCTCTTGCAAAATATTGTAAATGCAACTATTCAAAATGATGGCCTCCCAATGCAGAGGAATGGAGTCACGGTAAAAATCCAGAGTTCATGGAGCAGATAGTCATTGAGGCCTTTAGCCAGTAGTCTGCTATGTGTCCCTGTCTGGTGTGTGACGTTGGCTTGTAAAAAAAGGTCATAGTATGTTTCAGCTAGTATTGAAAGGCATCACCAAAAGAAGAAATTCATCCCATTTATGCCAGTATTTTATCTCTTAGCTCTTATGTTAGTTGGTCCATATCAATGTGAGAAAGTTTTTGTGGCTCTAAATCTCTCTGTTCACAGTTCTTTCATTGCCTACCTGTATAATATGCAGTCTGTCACAAAGATTGGAGACATTCTCTTTCCCTTCACAACTGATTAGGTCTCCAAGGCAACCAAATGCCAGCTGGCAAGATCGTTCCAGGTGGTGCTTGCTGGATCAGCTTTTCAAATATCCTTTTTCCCACAAACATACTCTTGAAGCTTAGCTTAGCAAACTAAACCTGTTCAGTTTGAAATGAATAAGTTAATGACGGAAAAGGCAGATGGTATTTTCTTCGTCCTGTCATTCCTGAATTTCTGATTAAGTTTTGCTTTAAACAAGGCAACCAGTTTACAGTTTGAACACTTTCACAATGTCTTCTATGAATTTTCTAACAAGAGACTTAAAGTTGTTTGTGTTGTTTTCAAACTTATGAACATTTTTAGTCTCGAAGAACGTTAACAAATACTGTTAAAAATAGCTCATGATAATCCAAAATAAATACATCTATCTTGTCTTGGTCAGAAAGCTTGGTTACCCTCTTGGTTATATCTTGTCAAGGTATTTATTCCCACTCATCCTAAACTTCTCTGTTTTGTCCACCTGTTTAATTTCCACACCTGTATTTAACTCAATCAACCTCGGCTGCAGCCACCCGCTAATTACACCTTCTAATTACATCCTAATTACCTTCCTTTTGTTCAGTCATTGTCGGTTCTATGCCATTACTGGGGTTTTGTTTTACTTGTTTGCTTTTGAAGACCTGGCTTGGCTGCACATTTGAAAAAAATAAATAAATCTAACTATGACTTCATCTGCCTGCACGACTGGATTTTTTTCCTCATCTTTTTACCACCACACAACCATAACTTGAAGAGCTGTTTCAGCAACTGAGATTATACTGACATGACCGTTCTGATGTCCTGGCTATTGCTGGAACAACTTTAAATAATGAGGATTTTCCGACTAAATTTAGTTTTTAAGTTCTCTCTTTAAACAATTTGATGTGAACACAAAAAAATGGTTACAGCGATAGGGAACTCTTCAGATTACATATGTTTCACTCTCTTAATTATGATAGTATGGATCGCCTATACAATAAATGTGATGTATCCCATGAGACTAATAATTCTAACACATGATTTATCACCCAACTGGAGGCACGCTCTTAATGTTTGAGAGGAGAATCTTCATGGTCCTCAGCTCCTTTGTGGACTTCAAGGACTTCTGCTCCTCCTATGTTCACTGCAAAGAATAGACATGTTAGATTAAACGAACAGCAAAAAATGACCTATTGCTACTCATGCACATCTGAAATATCTGAAAAGTCCTTTGTAAAAAAAAAAATGTCTGAGTACACACAGAGACATGACATTACCAACTAAGTTGTCATTTAAAGTTATGAGAAATGAGACTCCAGGTTATAAAAAGTAGTATCCCATGAGAGACACAGCTGTTACTTAATCAACGGAAACATGTGAAAGTTAATGTAGGATTCCTCGATTAAGAAAATAAAGATTGTAACATCAGAATTGCATGATACATTTAGAGAGCAGGAAACCTGGTTACCTGGTGTTTCAATGCCGAGAGTTGCATTTGCTTGGTGTGAGCTGTTGAGGTAAATGAATAAGATTTAACATTAAGCATCAAAATGCAGATAAAGGTGTGAGAGATCACCCTGACCTTGTTCTCCATGCTCTCCTCCAAGGCTGGTTAGCGTAGTGACCAAATGCAGGTGGAGATGAAGCTAGACCAAAAGCCTGGAGCCGCTGGAGGCTCTGCCGGTTGCGGAGCGTGAGGTCCACACCGTCCAAACCTTGTCTGATCAACCCCATCACCAGGTCTTTCTCTGTGGATCAGTAGTATTGGGTGGAAAGGAGTCAGAGAAATAAAACATTTCTTTTTTTTTGTTAATGGTAAATTCTTGTAGCAAAATTAGTTACATTAAAAAAAGGTAATGTCAATATTAGGAAGCAGTAAATGCTTAACAATTGTAAATGTATAATTTATAATGTATAATGTATAATTTATATTATGCATTTTGTTCTAAGATATGTCTAAACTAACATCAGCACTTGACATACAACAAAATAGTGTGACACTCAGCAAGGGTAAAGATTGATCATTTCAGGGATTTTGTCAGGTTTAAGACAAATCAGATGTGCCATCACTCTTTTGAGTTTTTTTTAACGATTTGGCTTTAGTCCGCTTTTATTAGGTGCACTGTTTTAGTCTCAGTTTACTTCTTATTTAACAATTTGTGTGCATCTTTTTTATGTTCCGCTCTTTTGCATTTTGATTCTGTCTGTATGGTTTTTGGATTAATGTATTACAAGATTTATCATGTCTGCATTTTCCTTTTTGCTTAATAGATTGAGTTTATTCAGTACCTCTATCTTATATGCATCTATGGCCTTCTCACTACACTCAGCACACAGCATGAAAAGATTTAGGTATTTTACCTCTTTGACCTGCAAGCAGAAGCCACTGCTGCACTGCGGACAGGGAGTCTGTCTGTAGGATCTGACAAAGTAGCTCCAGAACCTGCAAAAGAGAGAAATCATCAACATTATTATTTTGCAAACCATCTCAACAATTAAAGTTGCTGATGAGTTTCGTCAAATTATTGGTGCTTCTTGTGAGTTTTGCTGTAGGGTATTTCTCAGCACCAAAGCAGAAGTATGACCTCAGCCAAAGGCAATTAACTCCAGAGAGTTTTTAAGAAAGTGGAATTCTCCTTTTGACCTACTCTCTTCACTGGAAGAAAATATTCCACAGCTCTAACCCTAACCCAATTTAAACCCTAAAAGTCTGCAATTGACTCTTTCTGAAAGGTATAGAGGGGTTTGTGATCAGCGAAACAGTACTTCACCGTAAGTTCTTGGTCGTGGAATGGTTGATACTTCACATGCTGGTTTTGGGATCTACGCCCGTAGGACATGCTGGAGGATGGAATAATCCTCCCGGTTTCAGCTGAATATTGTGTCTTTCGGGTGACAAGTTCGTCCTCTCTGTGGTTCTGGAATAAAATCACACATTATATGACAGACTCTTGACAGTGGTGGCAGTCTTTAAACAACAAATATTACTTCACTGCTGTTTGATTCAGTGAGTTTTATTGTGATTTAAAATTTCAGGCAGTAATTTCAACATGTAGCTGTTCATCCGTATTCTGCGTAACTAAGAAGAAACATAAATGAATTGGGTAGAAGGAGGAGATTAATGCATGCCAACATGATTGTATCGCTTCTGCTTCCAGATCTCTACGAAACAAAACAAATCAATATGAGGATCATCAATCAAACATTTAACAGAAGTCTTGTACGGGAGATAGTTACATTTACCAGCTAATATTTAGTGCCTTTTTCATTTTGTTTATAATTTACATTTATATTTTCATTTGAGTAGTTTGGCAGCAGACACAGCCATTGCTGTATTTTGGGGTTGTGGTTGCAGCAGATGGAAGCTTCAGAGAAGTATACACAACTGAAACTATGTGTATTAATCTCTTTGTTTTGGGTGTCTAATAAAACAAAAATTTGTATTTGTAGCCAAATAAATAGGGGAAGACTGTGCCAAAATGTGACCTTGAATATATGTTTTATTATACACATGCAGCATAACAAATACCTCCTTTTTTTCCTTTTGTGTTTTGGATGACTGAATGACTTTTTCAGCAAGTTCCTTGAGTTCATCCATCCAGGCCTCTGAAAACACAGCTGTTAGATAAAGTGGAAATATGAAGACAGCGTGGCGTTGAAAGGCAGTGAGGACATTCATTTTTGATAATGTTAACAAACCTGACTTGTTTTTGCTTCTACCGTGAAGACCTTCAGCAAATTGAAGAGTGAAAGCTGGCTCAGAGGCCTTTCTGGTGGTGTGGCTTTTAAGGAGAGGGTGAGGAAATAAGGAAGAGGTGACAAACCAATCATCTCTCACTGTGCAAATGGGCCTTCCATTGAGTCCTGTGGGGAAGTGAATACATTTTCTGTGCTTATACAATGGGACCATCTAATTTGCAGAGACATTTTCTAAATTTTAAGCTGTTTTCATGTCATTCAACAACGTTAAACCTCTACCAACCTCCCATTATGAACATAAATTGTCACTTACTTACCAGAATAGAGGACACCGCTCTCTGCTCTGCTATTAGTCTAACTACAGCTAGATTTCGTAAATGCATGGGAAAAGAAAATTGTGTAACTGAAATAGTAAAACATCAGAACCACAAAAATTTGATTAACCCACCCAGATGACAAAGTACAGATTTTCATTTAGCACTCTGTACATGCTCCAAAATGTACTAGCTGAAAAACATGTAATTTAGAAAAATAAATCCATGCAAATAAATAACTGTACATGAACACACATAATCTAAAACTCCAGCTATCTCCCACTGTCCAAAAACATGCCTGCTAAATGTTTAACAACTGCAGGTTTCCTGCACGTGTGTTACTAATACAGGTGTTTAAAAAACGTGAAAAATCACCTTTCAATGCAAAACAATCTGTGTATTAATTCAAATTGTCAGAATTAGCAATAACAAGACACTTTAGTGCAAAGATAGCTTGTATTTATATGTATTTGATAGTAAGAAAATGTGTTAATGTATAATAATCTCTGTAAGATTTTAATTTCCCACCACACATTCAGTAAAATCACCATTAAAGGTTAAAAACATATCCAGTTTTGTCAGCAAACAGAGAAGACATTGTTACCGCGAACAGAATGAAAAGGCTTGATCATTGCACCAAAACACTCTGATGGACAAGAATGAGTCTAATGCTTCCAGTTTCCTTGCTCACCTTGAATATGCTTCACCCTATGTGGATGAGGGTTGTGTCGGGAAAAAAAGGAATGGTGACTCAAGGCACCAAAGCGTGGACTGCTTTTCGTCAGCATTCTACAAAATTCAGCAGAAAAAGGAACCTGATTGGTTTTGCTGTGGCTCCTTTCCCCTGTTGTTGCTCTGGAGTCCTGATTCTGTCTTGACATATTTGACTAAAAATCCTTTGGCTCAATCCTGGGGGAATGAGAAAAAATATTTTTGGTAAACTTTCTTTAGAAGGTAATGCGACAAAAACATGTGAACTGCATTATTTCAGACTGTTTTGATTTCAAGGTTATAACCTTACATCATTTTAAATGTTCATGAACTTATTATAACAAGGAGCATGACAAAGACTGTTCTAACTAAACTTACCTCCCACTCTGAAGACAGGTGCTCCTTCTCTTGCTTTCCACTATAAGATCCCTTCAAAAAAGAATTACAGAGGTATGATTAAAATGATTATAATAACAAAAAAACAACTTTGAAGAAGTGATTTACCTCTTAAAATGAGCTCCAGCTTAAATCCGATGGTACTCAAAGGTCTGTGTTGCTTTTGTTGCTAAGAAACCTGAACTAAACAGTAGCTTCTGTACACTGGAACACTGCGTTTATGCATGCAAAGCAACCACATTTCTTACAATCGTCTAATTCTTGACTAAGATCGAAGGGGAATTTAAAAAAAATAAATCTGATGACATAAAGCTAAATGTAGTCTAGGTTCACCAGAGTGGGACATCTGGGCTTCTGTTTGTGGTGCCTAAGGTTTTTCTTCAAGGAAACGTGCATCCCTGAAGGCCTTTTTCATTAGAGACTAAACACATCTTCAGGAGGAAGGGTCACATGAGCAGCTGGAAACATCAGATGGCTCAGGGTAGTGGTAGGTTAACTGGCTTGTTTTTCTCAATTAAAGTAAACAAAAAAAATCCACATAATGTTCCTGTAAAAGTAGCCCTGCACCAAAAATGATGCTAAAGTTTTCTAAATAACGTGATGCTTAATTCTTCGCCTCAGTTCAGTTTTGAGACATTGTGATCAGGCAATGGGAACACCTATGGTAAAGACTTTTGAAATGTGATCAAGTAACCAAGATTGTGCGCAGCAGATATGCAACACACAGATAATAGAATGGCAAGTGAATAGAAATGACAAGGAAGAAAAGGCTGTCTGGTAGTTGCAATAGTCAATGTTCTGTAATGTTACATCAACCGGGAATAAGTCTTAAATGTGGGTCAAGGATAAGGATAGATAAAAAGCATTAGAATGCAAAAAAATGTTGGCACCAATGGCAAATGTTTTCTCACAAAAGACGAGTCACCTTTTGACTCGTCTTCTGAGTCTTACAGGGATTTTGATTTTCCTCTTCTGCCAACATTGAAGAGAATGAGTTGATTATTGCAATGTCCTCAATCACAGTACACTTGAAAATGTACAAACACCCCTTATGAGACATTATGAGACATAAGACTGATTCTTTAGACTTTTGAAAAGTGAAAATCATAAGAAAATCTTTGCCGATACTTTGTACTTTGAAAGTGTTCAGCTCCAATCATCTTTGGTTAGACTTACTGTATAAGCTCTTTGAACTTCTTTTCATGCATGGCTATGAATCTGCGGGGGGTCCACTGCCTTAAGACTAACCTCTGGTATAAAAGAAAGTAATCTGCTGAGTAAACTTGCTCAAAAGTTCATGAAAAGGTGAATTCTCTTTATGTGCTTGGAGTGTAATCACCCAAAAATTTATGTTTAAATTTATATTTATATATATACCAAAAGCAGGTTCTCATTATGCAAAAGACATACTATAGAAACTTCAGTATATGCAGTATATGCAGTGGAGGATGAGCCTCTCTACCTCTCTTCCTCTTATAATGGTTACTGCTGACGTCTGTGCTTTATCTTTAGGATAGCATCTTGAATTTCAATGACCAGATTGAATGCTGTGCATGATCTGTTCTGGGATTTTTATCACTTAATACTTAAGAGGTGGCTGGACAAAGTCAGAGTTAAAAAAACTCGGGGTAGTTCTTTGATATTCTCTCATATTCTCGAGTCTTGCGTCCAAATGATATATATATGTCCACTCCTGTATATAAAGTGTAGTGCATAAATAAATGCATAAATGCACAGTAACAACAATGCCATCTAACATCAAATGTGTCTTCAGTGCTTTAAACACAACAACCCATTTTAGGAATGTTGGTGAGTGGTTGTGAGTATTGGTATTTATGTAGCATACAATGTCCAACAGGCATCATATCTCTTAGTTCTATAAACCTCCACTGACGAAACAGAAGATTCCTCATTTGATCTGGACCTTGTCATAAAATGTAGTGACTGATGTCTCTAGACTTAGAGAGATTCATTCCATTCATACCCCCTGGTCAGTGAGTATTGATTTGGTAGATAGCATTTACAGAAAAGCATGATTCTCTTCCCTCCCATGCCAGTCAAAGTCTGAAATCCTCAGGCAGATTTTCCATCTCTCCAGACAGGTGAGAGCCCCTCTCAGGCTCCCCTATTGGTTCTCCCTGGCACGGCATCCATGCAAAACCGTGTTCAAATCTTAGTCTATTTTGTTAGTAGTTTTTTCTTTTTGTTTTTGCCTTAGATCTGTAGCATTCCCGTTCTGCCATTTAGAATTTTCTAACAATGAGAAAAAATCATGTCAGAATTCAATCAAAATGTAAGTTTGGACTAAATACAAAAAAACATCCAACATCTTAAAACTTTTAAAAAAAAATTCTAATTTAAAAAAAATGTTGACTATACACTTATGCATTCGCAAAATGAGTGCATCCCCTCGTGGGTTTGGCTATTTTAAACACAGTTTTTTACTGCCACACAATAGAAAATAGCCTGTGCTTGTCAGTTGTCTGGGGCTGTGAAGTTGGTGCCTCCTCTTTCTTTGTATTCAGCACAGGTGAGATGTCTTTTCATTCAGTTAATTGGTGGGTAAAGACAAGAGAGGCTGCAGTTCTTTATTTTCTTCACTTTGTTTAAGCTCATCAACTCCCAACATGCACATTGTTTTTCCACTTCCAAGTGGGAAGTGCTTTTGCTCTTAGAAACATGAACCATATACAGACCTTATAACAGTGTTTATTAATTATTTTATGTTTTCCTTCACACAAAATGTTTTAAAGTATAGATTTGCACTTGGGTTCAGTGTATTACCCATGAAAACTGACTGACCAACAACTGGCCCCTCACTTTACCCACAGTGTCATAGAAACTAGGTTGACTTTAAGCAGTGTTTGCTCATCATAATTATCCATTGTGAATTGATGAGCTGAAAAATGTTTATTTCAATCAGTTCTATTATGATCGGGCAATAGTAGATATCTATAGTCCACAGTTCAGCAGCTGTTTTTTGAATATATGAAAATACATTTTCATCTTACATCTAACTTGTAAAAGGATACTCTTGGTGTTGTTAGAATCTACCATTTGAATAAAGCTGAACTGCAACAATACACAACCTGTGAAAAGTGAGGAAAACTAATGTATCTAGGTTTTCGCTGGGTGGTGGCTGGCCCTAAATATTCAACTGCTTGATTTGCTTTGTGAGGTTTTTGCATTTCGTGATTGTGTTCGTCTGGTTTCGCTTTTTGAAAACACTGAAATAACAAACAGCTTAGCTAAGAGTATGTGGCACAAATTATACGTTATGATTATGAATCAAATTATTTGATTAAGTTTAGATATGAAAATGTCATTATGACTTGCATTAAAACAGAACTTTGGAAAAACAACATTGAGTGTTTGTTTGTTTTTTTTCCTCCTGAGGGACATGTAATTAACTTCACAATACAAAAATAATTATCAGATGAAATGCTTGAAACTGAAAGTCTTTCAGCCCTTACAGTCATTAATAGTAACTCGTGTCCTGATGTCCATAATATAATATTTTTATCCGAGAGTGAATGTTCTCTCAGGGCAGCATCCTACCGTTCCAGGTTTATGGTCCTGTAGCTTGTTTATTGTTTTTGTTCTTCAAAAATGAATATTTCCCCCTTCATTTTATACCTGTAGTGGTGGGAAACAGAGAAGATCTCTCAATGCACCATTGAGGAGGAGTTGCTATGGGAGCAAGGAAGTAGACTATTTGTAAGGAGTATTTATATATATAAAAAATGTTTTCTATGCCCTCGGAAGTAAGATAGTATTGCCTGGTAGTAGAAAATAAGAGGAGGGGGGGTTATTTGCATTTACTAATCTTTTTCCATTTTAAAATATTCCATGATTCCCCAAGATATATCAGTAATAGCCATTTTTTAAGATGAAGCATTCCGTGATTTAAAAACAAGAAACAGATATAACACACATGGATGGGTTTTTGAAGCCTTACTAGAGAATTTAGGATTATTATCAATTCTATTATATATCTATTACTCAATCTTAATTTTTTACCCCTTAAGTTTGCCCTTACAGGGTAAACTGCCATACATTTAGAAAAAAACTTGTAACTTGTGTTTCTCTCTGACTAATAATTCCCCAGGGATGTACTGATATGCAAATGTTCTGCATTTAGGGATAGCCAAGATATGGAACACTTAAGTAAATGTCTGGAAAAAATCAAAATGTTTAATTAGTTTATACTAGGGGGGATCAACAGTGCTGAAGGAGAAATTATCTTGTTAGTATTTGTTTCATGATTACATCAAATCAGTAAACAGAGCCAAGCAAATCAAACTCGACAGAATGAGGGAGCTAATCACTCTTTGTTTATGAGAAACATAGAAAAAGCTGATATCGAACGTTATCCATCATTATGTTTTTCTCTCAGAATTCTGAAGAAAAGCCTGTGCCAGGTTTGTTCTTGACCCATTTCTTGCTCAAATTCTTTTAACTTATGTGTTATCAATTGTCATGGGCCTCTTTGATCATTTTTTGTAGTGACCCCAAAAGGATGAAGTGTCACATGCACTGTATGCCCCTGATACATAAAAGCATTTATTTAATCAATGAGTTCACCTTCTTCGCCATCTTCAAGGTTTTGAATCAATATATATTCTGACCTCTTTTTGTTTTCAGCCTCTCTTTAAATTGATGTAATCATAACAGACAGATTAAAGATAAGTACTGTCTTTGAGCATTTTTGACCTTTTAAAAGGCCACGATTCACACAAGATCATTGCATTCCCATGAAAGAAATTACAGGGCTATATGCCACATATCTACTATATCTTTGCTTCCAGCATCAATATAGATGACAGAGTCCTTGTAACTTGCCCCCTTGTATCTTCTGAGTCGTGAGGAATTGCTCTACGAAAACATCTGTCCAGAGGCTCTAAAAGTGCTGCAGCACTAACAGCTAACTAACAGCTCTAGTTTGCCTTGATGTTTTAAGTCAGGTTGTCTGTGGTGGAAAGGCTGTTTCGAGGCTTTCTTGAATGATGTGTAACCATAGACATGCCTCTTACAAGTTAAGAATACTCAAATCACTCAAATCAGAATTTTTTAAGAAGCAAGTGTCTACAGTAATTGGAAACATTAGCTCATCATCTTGCCAAGCAATTACTAACGGATAGATAAATCAATGAATTGTCTTCTAGATGGTGTATAGAGATAGTCATTTTCTATAAAACAAAGAGTGACTCAGTGATGACTCACACTGAACTTTAGGCTGCATATAAAATGTCTGATATGATGCTGTTTTTCTCTTTTGATTGTGTTTATCTATTTATTTTGCCAGGTTAACCCAGTGTGTGGTGAAGCTGACATATCAAAGAGAGGAATGTGTCTTTAAAGGAAATATGGAAATATATGCAAAGACTTATATTAATTCACTGGTATTTTGTAGGAACATGAATGTGCATTTGAGTCATTCACATTCATCGTGAAGTGTCAGCACGTTCTCCTGAACATTAATCATGAATTTGTTTAGTTTTGTTTTAATCCAACATCACATTTCAGGGCCTCTCAAAAAACAACACAACATGTTTACATTTCACAAAGATTTGTTCTCAGTATTGAGCATGTGAAATGAAAATGTTGCATTATATCACATAAAAATGATTTCATGGAGATGCGAGATACATACACATAAACAGCATATCACAGTTTTTCTTTGACATATTTTTTCAATCTAAATTCCCAGGCCTGGCTTATTTATCCTTAAACAACACTAACCAATCAGAGTTTTTCAAGTTTATCTTCAAGTCAAGGAAATTGAATTTCAGCGGTAACAGATACAAAGAGGCCCATTTGGAGCACTGATTGTAAATAGAGCCTAATTATGGAGGTTTTATTAAGATAAGTATTCGTAATTTATGTTCGATAAGAATAGCAGTTAACTTCGCAGTCCTTGAAAGCAATTTTGATTGCCATTTCTATTTGTTATGACTAACGCTGCTGCCAGGCAGACCTTGTGTCACAGGACAGAGATATTCTGGGTGAATACAGTCAAAAACCACTGCCATGTCTTCCCTTTTATTCAGCAGATTATGTTGACATTTTAACAGCAGAAATGAAACTCTCATATATGTGTATTACTGAGGCAGAAGAGTGGGTGTAGAACAAATTAAGTTGTTGATAATGTTCTTACCCTTTTGGATAAGGTGTGGACAAAATAATGGGAAGACGTCTCCCTTTAACTGATTCCAAAACAAAACCTGTTTTTCATTTATGTGTGGAATCCATTTTAGCAGGTCATTTCTGTTCGTCAAACTGTGTGTCACTTACCTTTGGAGAGGGATACCTAAATAGCTCAGTTCCCTTTGTGTATAGGAAGGGGCTCTGCATTGAAAACAACTGCCCCTAACCCAGCCTCAATGTATAAGTTTGATATCAAAATAGTTTATATTTAATAAGTATAATGAAATATACTTTCAAAGGACCTTACTAGAAATAACTTGCTTAAGATGTGGTTAGATTGTTCAAAAGAATCATTAGGAAGTTTTCAGTATTAAGGGACTATTACGACAAACCAAACAAAAAAAGCCACAGAGACCAAACTATTTTCAGCACATAGTTGTAAATTTGTATATCTAGATTGTTCAGTGGATTAAGATTTTTCATTTTCAACATAGTGGGGTCATTTTATAGCCTGTCAAGTGTCCTGTGGCTATAAAACTTATAAGCCTAACTTTTCATGTCCACAACACCTCTGACACAGATGTGTGGTTTAAAATAGCTAGCTATTCATTTCACTCATCATTCTTTCTTAAATGAAACACGTCCTAATCCAAACCATTTTGGTTCCAGATATACACAGCTCACTCTGGACATTATGAAACCTTAGCTGTGAGTCTTATCCATTCTCCACACACGCTGGCAGAGAGAGGGAGTGTGTGCTCTGCTCCTGTTGGCTGCGCAGCGTCCAGACGCACCTGTGGGTTCCAGGGAGGCAGACTGACTGACTTCTTCTTTTCTGTCCAACATCCAAGTTCGTTTCTTTTTTTTTTTTTTTTTTTGGAGCTGAGCACGGCGCCCTGGAATAATGGCAGCAGCCTCCACCGCCTCGGGACAAGGCTCCTCCAAGATAACTCCCGAAGTCCTGCGGGAGATGCTCCAGTACTACAACCTGAGCCGCCAGGAGTTCATCAGCACCTACAACATCCAGCCGCTCGTCTACATCCCCGAGCTACCCTACAGCGCCAAGACCACCTTCGTGATCATGTACGTGGTGATTTTCGTCCTGGCACTGGCTGGAAACAGTCTGGTCATCTACATAGTTGTGAAGAAACGGGCGATACAGACGGCCACCGATATTTTCATCTGTTCTCTGGCGGTCAGCGACTTGCTCATCACTTTCTTCTGCATACCTTTCACTCTGCTGCAGAACATCTCCTCTGAATGGTTCGGGGGTGAGTTTGAACTTGTAGAAAGATACTTTTATCGTTAACAGTACGTATAAAAACTGTATTTGTAGGGATTAGGGGGGGGATAGAACAGTCTCCCAGGGTGGGAAACGACCTGTTTCTCACTTTGGAGAACTGGAAATCGAATTGGAATTGTGTACATACATGACATCTTTTATTCATCGTTTGGTTGAATGGAATGTTTGGAGAAGAAAAAGCAACCGTGTGATCTCGAAAAGCAGCTCAGCAGTTATATCAGAGGAAACCAAAAACCCCATTCCAACTCCGACCATCAGCCAGAGCCCGCACATAGCCAGGGGCCAGCATTTGAAATGGTAAACACACCTGTCCCCTCGAGGCAAGTCACAGCAGGAAAAGGTACCAAACGCCACTCAAGCCCATGTGCCTCCCCTAGACTGGCTGAATAAAAGGGGAAAAAAAGAACTCATCTGGTGAGGGGATAGTTAGATAAGGTAGGTCTGTTTAAAGAATAATGAATCAGATCATTATTCATTATTCATGTGAAAGCTGTGCTGCTCCTGTCAAAAACTGCTGTAAGGTGACTGTAGGAGTGCTGTGCCCTTATAGCTCACATATGAATCCTTCTTTTAAATTCAGGGACAGCTCCAAGAGGATTCAGGTGTTTCTATTTTTAAGCTGAGTTGGTGTCAGCTCGCAGCAGACGGATTGTTTTTTACCTGTATTGTATGGTGGTGGTTGGGTGGATGCAGGCACTGGAACAAGATCATTATAAACAATGTCAGCGATGTAGTATTGTTATTTTTCATTGTTGATTTTTTGTTTGCCAAGTGGAAATCAAATTCATGGCCATGATGAAGAAAAAAAAGAAAAGGAAAATAAAACACAACAAAAAGAAAGAAGATCTCCATGAGTTATGAAAATTATGATTGAGAACGGTGCTATTACAATTTTTTAATTTGCTTTATGCTGCCTCTCCGGTGGCAAATCCTTGGCTCTGAAGATGCAGTCTTATCCTACTGCTCATCCTTTCTTCTATAAAGAAAAAAAGAAAATTCAGTCTAAACACATAAGGTCAATGTAAATTCATGGTTTGGATTAATATTGAGAAATGAAAATTTAAGTAAACATACCGGCCAAGATGGTGGAAAGTAACAAGCGCAATTACAGTTTACGGTTTTGACCAGCAGAGCTGCGTTGAGTATCACGGCAACATCGAAAACAGCTAAAAGGATCTGCTATCAGAATGCAGTCATTCAGTTCATGGTGCATCAGGGTTGAGTTTAACATTTGTTCCTCCACTGGGCTTCATTATCTGTCAAACATGTGTGGTTGCTATAATCAGGGAAACTAGTGACTTCAAATTATTTCCCCACAGGAGGATGATGAGGAGCTCCCCCTCCCCTCTCATTGCTTATTGCAGATAAGGAATCTTGTGATCTTGAATGCTAATGATGATTTGTTGGCAACTCTCAGAACTTCATTGTGTCATTCTTTGCTTTTTCTTTAGGGGTTCTGGTGTGCAAGACTGTTCCATTTGTACAGACGACAGCCATAGTGACTTGCATCCTCACAATGACTTGCATTGCCATTGAGAGATACCAGGGCATTGTGTTCCCACTGAAAATGAGGCGGCAGTACTCGTCCATAAGAGCGTACAAGATGTTAGGTATTGTATATTTCCCAGAGCGGCTTATTATTGTTTTTCCGGTTGTGTTTTCCTCAAGTGGAAAATGAATAAGAATTGCAATAAGAACCTCTTTCATGTACTGACAAAACTTACATGCTCTTGCTGTTTGTTTTCAGTATTCAACTCCCATGCAACATTTTGCAATGCCTAAGATCATCAACATATTAACCCCGTACAGTCTGCAAAACTCGTTTTTAGATATCAGCTAAATATAATTAGTGGAACAAATCTATTGGAACAAAGAATTGTGGAGGATATAAATAGATTTTCTACTAAATTACACAAAGAAGGAACTTAATGTTTCAGCTGAAATTAACTGTGCTTGGTATCAGTTAAAGAAAAACATGGTTTGGATTTTTAAATTCTATAACGTCTGTTCTAGATGTAATTAAAGTGGGAGCTTTACATGTCGGTTGACGCCTTCATGACATGTTTGTCTGTGTGCTGCAGGGCTCGTATGGATTGCCTCGGTGATAGTGGGATCACCAATGCTATTTGTGCAACGGCTAGAGGTAAGTGCCCATTAAAGCAACCATCACTGCCTAAAGAAAAAAAAAACAGAATTGATTATAACTATGTTTCATTATTTTCAAGATGAACATATTAGCCCTGGTCTCAGTCTCACTGTTCCAACTGATTTGGTTAAAAAGAAAGCAAGACAGGTGTTTTAGAGCTTTCAGACCCTGAATAACTGGAAATGGTATATATCTATAATTTTTTAAAGTGGAATTTTGATTGCATATAATATTTTAATCTAAGCAAGATACATCTTTCTGAGGCAAGATGCTGTAATGAACAGCATCCTGCATCAGCTTAACTACATTTAGGGTTAAAGATCATCTTTATTAACTTAAATAAAATCAAATAACACTGGCAAGAATTCCTGACTAAATCAACCAATAAGTTAGAATCAATTGAGAAAACAAAAATAAGATGTTTTAAATCAGTGTGATCAACATTCAGACAGGTCAAATATCCTCACAATGTCTTACTGTTCAATCAAACCAAACAGGTCACTGTTATCTGGAAAGAAAAGGATAAGTCCCTTTCTTTTTTACATCTTGGTTTGAAATTAAAAGCCCATAGCTGTTCCTCATCTACAATTTTATTTTCCCTCTAAATGTCAATTAACTTTTTGCTGAAGAAGGCTAAAGACTCAAGGGAAGATGTGACATGAATAGAACATTTTTGTCATTACTTCTGGGTCTTTATTAATTTCTGCAGAATTGAAAATATTTCTGCCTCTCTGTCTCCAGGTGAAGTATGACTTCCTGTACGATCACTACCACGTTTGCTGCCAGGAGAGTTGGAGATCTCTGACCTACAGGCAGGCCTACACCACCTTCATCATGGTGGCTCTTTTCCTGCTTCCCTTGGCAGCCATGTTGTTCCTGTACACGCGCATTGGCATTGAGTTGTGGATCAGAAAGAGGGTGGGCGATGCTTCTGTCCTCAACACTATGAACCACAGAGAGATTGGCAAGATCTCAAGGTGAGAATGGCAGCCGAGGCGACTGCCCCGCTGTTTAATCCTCACAACCATCTATTGATAACACTGGCTCGTTTTTTTTCATTCAACTGAGCGTATTTGGAAATTGTTTTGACATTTTTCAAGCCGTAGAAGTGGGATAAAGCTGCTTTTTGCTAAAAGGTTATGTTATGTTACCAAAAAATTGACGGTTAGTGTGATGACAGTACTATGTATTCCACAGCTCTATGGTTGCCTTGGTTGCCTTTATTTTCTGTGATAAATTCCTTTTCTTTGCTCACTGAAAAAAGAGAAGCCATACCAGAAGAAACGCATATGTCTTAGTTGTCTGCGTTTTGCAAGAAATGCCAAACAAGGGTTAACTGGAGTGCATTTAATTGTGTGACTGTTTGCGTCCTGATTCACTGATCGAAAAAAGTGATGTTAATCAGATAACTTATTGCACCTGTCTCCTAATCACACTGAAAACAAGCTGCTGCATTTTTTAAATTATTCTGTTCTCAAATGAGTTTATATTTTCTTCTTAAACAGGAAAAAGAAAAGAGCTGTTAAAATGATGGTCACCATTGTCCTGCTTTTTACCATTTGCTGGGCGCCATTCCACACCGTCCACATGCTGTTTGAATATCGTAAGTAATGCTTTACTCCTATGAAGATGCAGATATTGAATTTTTTTAATGTTTAGTTTCTCTGTATCTGTGTTTGTGCAGACGATCTTGAAAAGAAATACGACGGCGTTACCCTCAACACGATCATCGCCATTGTTCAGGCCATCGGGTTCTTCAACAGCTTCAACAATCCCATCGTGTACGCGTTCATGAACGAGAACTTCAAGAAGAGCTGCGTGTCCACCCTCTCCCACTGTATCCGCAAGCCCAGCCAGCAGGGGGCCGCCCCGCCGGCGCCCAGACTGAGCGTGCAGTTCATCAAGCCCCAGAGCCGAGAGGCCTTCCTCAAACCCGCCGACGGTAACAGCTCAGAGCAGCGCCCAGCAGAGAAGGGCGCTCTAGGCTCGTCGCATGCCGAGAGCTCCCTGGAGATAATCGGAGAGAAAATCTCTACCATACAAACAGAGCTCCCCGCACACAGCTCCTCTCAAGTCAAATGAGACGGGAGTTGCCGAAAGTTCAGGTGCCGTCACTCTGGAACATGACCGTGCTATTTGGAACACGACGCCCACGGCTGCAAGTGTCAAATGCATTTTCAAGTCTCACTCTGGTGGATCAAAGGCTAAAAAGCCCATCGGATTGTCAGAATTTCAAGGCAATGTCAGGAGCTGGAAAAAAGGATTTCCCTCAGTTCTGCAGCCCAGCAGGAAGAATGTACGGCGACATTTAAGAAAAACAGTTTTACTGTAAATACTACATCATCAGTCTCTCTGTTACCCAAATTGAGAAAATCCTTTGTGCGGTCTCTGAAATCTGGCAGTATTCACTGTGGAGCGAAAGCATTTTCCGTTTCATCTCGAATGTTTGTGCAGTTCTCAGCAGGTAATTGAAAAGGCTTTCATCGATGAAGGGCCGAGCTTCATCACATTACTGGATTCCCATCTGTTCACCTCAGCATTTCATGCTAATTAGACTGCAAAGTTTTCTTTTTAGCATTATAAACATTTCTTTACTTTTGAAAGAATGTAAATCTCAGATGTGCCGCCTGAATTTGATTACTACATCACACAAGAACACACATGAGGAAGGGTGTCAAGTTTTAATATTCAGATGTTCCATTTAAAGCTTTAATATTCAAACATTCAAACTGTTTGAGCACTATCATTAAACCAACATGCAGAGACAATAGAGTTGTGAAAAAGAGATGAATCCTCAAAGCACGTACTTTTAATGATGAGGGTTAACCAAGCGGGTAATGTAAAACCAGCATAGTAAAGTGGAAAATCTGTAACCAAGAAAAGGATTTGGGATTAGTGGGGAAGGAGCACATGTTAGACGAAAGCTCTTCGTTTCATTGGCCACCTTAATTATTCTATTTATGATGTGAAATCATTTCATTTTTTCGCCTGCTTGGAAATATCAAGGTTGATGTGTTTTAATCTTTCACAATTGAACTGAGTGTACTTTGTACAGTTGCTATCATTTCACACACAATTTCAGTTCCTTTCAGCAGACAACAAGAATTTTACTGAAAGATGAGTTGAAAAAGCCAAACGACACAAGAGGTATTGTTCCAGGTTTCGGGAATAGTTGTTTATGCTGTCATCTGTTAGCCTTTCAGCCGTATTATGGAAAAGATGGGCATACTGTAGATGATTATATCTGCAATGTACTGAAAGTCACTGGAAGGCAGCATGGACTCTTTTTCTTTATCAAAGCCCAGCTTCCAATTTTAAAGACAGCCAATGTCACAAATTTCTTGTAATTTCTTCTCGTTATTTCTGTTGTTTCTATCTGAAACATTCATACTTTGACAGGAGTAGCCTCATTTAGGATGACAACAAATGTTTATAGGGCTCATTGGGTCACAGAATGATTTGAAGAATATAAAAATGACAGGAAACATGCGCGAAGACATTCACAGCTATCAGATCTCAGAACTCAGACAAACCTACAGACATTTTGAGCAGACTTTAATGATACTGAAGAAGAGTTTTTCTGTTCATGTAGCAGATCCACTGACTTAATGAAGTGTGTTGGTTCTTCACATAAAGTGTCATCTATTCGCTTCTACCTATTCTGGCCATTAGATCAAACAGTAACACCTGGTTGAGCACCCTGTCATCACAAGGCTGAGACAAATGTTCTGAGTTGATGTAAAAAGCTTAAATTGGTGTTCAAACACAACACAACAAACACAAGCAGCTCTACCATGTGAGGAAGAAGCCATATGTGAAAGTTATCTTCTCTGTGCCACAGCTCATTTAAAAGTGGACTGAGTTAAAAAAGACATTCTGTGCTTTGAAAGATTAAAAATCGAAAAGCATCTCATAAACCATGGTCACCTTATGCTCTGGACTAAAGAGAAGAAGGAATATTTGACTTCTCATCAGCAATTAGTTCAAAGCCTGCATCTCTGATGGCATGGATCTGCACATCTGGAGAGGCTTGACTTTCTTCAGAGCGGAAATACTAAACTACATACTGAATCTATTTGAACTCCAGAGGTCTAAAAATCCTGGACCGGCCCGCTGCAGTGCAACACCTGAGAGGATTTGGAGCATCATTAAAAACAAAATGCAGTAAAGAAATGAGTGTCTCCGCTTTCCCAAAATGCATTGCAGTCAGCAGCTGGTTGGTTTTGACTGAGTTAAACCTGCATTTGTGGAATGTGAGGGCCACAGTGATTTTGCATGTCACCAGTCATTGTCGATGCGCTTTGTGCGCAGCCCAAACTCACCAACAACTTATGAATGTAATCACCATCAGAAAAATGTAATCATGACTGCACTGGCCATGAAACCCCTCTAGACAAACCCTGAGGGTGTTTAACATCATATAATGTTATATTAATAGTAGCACTGAAGGAGATTTGGGGCCTTAATGAGTCTTGAATGTTTCACAAGCAGAGAAATGTTCATGTTTTTTTTTTAAGTAGCTGAAATAGTAGTTTAAACTTGACTTGTTCTCTTTTTTGGTACAATTTTGTGATCATTTGTTTCATTCCCATTTTTGCACATATTTAAAACTCTTCATTTTTAATTTATATATTTTTACTTGTAATGCAGTGATGGTGTCTATTCTTGACCTGTGTAATTCAAAAATGTTAATTTAAAGATTGTCTCAGGATTGTGAAAGAGTATGATCTGGCAGCAAAGTGATTCATAAAACATGTTGATTGATATTTGCGTATTTTCTTTGAGTTACATTACTATAGTTGGCATACAGAAAATAAATATAAAAAACAGCTGAATCATAAATAAAAATCAGAATGCAGTTAAAGTGGCACAAAACAAATTGGAGTAGCTTTAACATTTTTCCTTTGGCATGAAAGCATATATCCACAGCAGACTGCTCACTTTATATTTAAATTTAGTCAACCAGGACTATATTTTCCAGTTTGAAAGCAGTACCTGATAAATTATACATTACGGATTGGTTCTTATATGCGTCAGGGCACAAATGCTGTAAGATTTGCCAATCAGAATAAGTTCATGTTTTCCAAAATCCTCCCTTGAATATAAAAAAAAAAATCTCTGATGTATAGGGCAGCAAGTAAAATGAATATATAATAATAATCTCTACTCGCTACTGAAAGCAGTCATGAGGATTAAAGAGATCATGACATTTCTTATATCCATAGCTCCACTTAAAATTGTTAGGAAACCCAATCCATATAGTTTGTTTTTTTGGCAAAAGCAATGACAGAAAAACAATATTGTCTTTGTTACCTGATGCCATCCATAGCATATATTCAGGGCATGTAGGAAATTTGAGTTCCTGTATAATTTGGCATTTAAGTTCATTTAAACTATTTTTGGGCAATAATATGAAAAATACTGTTGTCCTGTTTTTGCAGTACAAGTGGGGTTCGTATTAAACCTATAAATATTAACTTATTATGAAGCTACATATTTGATAGTTATGCAAATATCCAGTTATTTGACTCTAGATGTCTAGCACAAAGACATGAGGCTGAGTCCTACAAGAATTATGACTTAAAACTTTGCCCCATCATGCTGTGCGTTAGCTTTAAATGCCAAACGTTAACGAATGAAAGATCAACAGGCGGAGCACAACAGGTGCAGTTAAATGACCATGTGTGCATCCTGCGTTTTAAGGAAGAAAAGCACAATGCTTCAATTTCACCCCTGAACAACCCCACGGCAAGAAAGGAAGTTAAGCTGGAGAGCTCCTCTGGAGAATTAGAGTGCTTCACACAGAGTATGAGGGATCCATCTACCATCCATCCATCCGGAAAATCAACAGCTCCGCACACAAATATTCTACGATGCAGTTGTGCCAGATGCATTTCTCCTGTGTGCAAAATTAATAAACTTTTGGTATAAAATGCTGAGCTTTAATGTTTTAAACAAACAAACAAACAAAAAAAAGACTAAGTAATGATGTCATGATGATACTTTGCTTTACCATATCAGGAGCGTCTTTCAGTCAAATCTCAACGACAGTTCGTTTTGAATAGAAGTGAGCACCAATCTGACTGGTTCAAAGACGTCCTGACACAAACCAAAGTCGGAGGCGTATCAAACCGTGCCTAATGATGGAGTCAGATCTAAAAGCATCACCAGCGTCATTAGCAGTGCTGCTGAGATCTAGAGGGATATGTTCCAGCCCGTGTTTATATTTTTCTTTTTAAACAACCATGTGGCTTTCAGGTCAAGGCAAGGCTTTAAAGTGATCAGAAAGGTGGATTGAAGTAACATCTCAGGAACTTTTAATTACTGCACAAACACAATAACAACTTAAAAAGTTTATCTTGTTTGACTTTATTACATAATCTGTTAAATTATTCCATGAAGAGACTTCTTACCGGATTTCAGTTGACTAAACAGAGATAAAATCTTGTATGAAAACGAATACTTTTTCTGCATCAAACCTATTCCATCGAAAGTGGTAATGCAAATAGTCAAGGAGTTTAAACTACAACCAGTAGCTTCTCTATGAATGAGCTAAACCCTTTGAACTCTGTACATCCCAGTTTACATCTGGGCTGTGATTCTACTCATTAAGTGTTCTGGCCCATTAAACTGTAGGAATATAGGCCTGTGTTATATCCTAACATGACAAGAAAAATTGTTAAAGAAATATTTCTAAAGCCAGAAGAGCAGTAAAAGATTTTTTTTTTAAACTGCAAACTGAATTTTGTCATAACCGTCTGTTTAATGTCTGTGGGGTCATGCTACAAAAAATAAATCAGGAGAAGATAGATCCTGCTTGGTTTGACCATCATGAAAGGAAATAAACTCATAACAGGCACTTTGCATTTTTCTTTGTTTACAGACACTAAGCTAAGAAAAACAAACATCCTCCTGCATCCCTGCGGTTTCTTTTCTTGATGCTACGTGATCAGAGGTATATGGAAGTCTGCATTATCAAAGAGAAGCGGCCTTGTGACAGGATTGGGATCTTTGTCAGCTTTATGAAGGAGTTTAAACAGTCCTGTTCCAATATTCATTGGAATTCCCATAATGATACACTCAGAAACACCTGAAAAAGGAACACAGGAAATGTTAATGTAATTTTGATTACAAAAAGAAAATGTTTGCTGTCACAATACAGATGAAGCTGGAAATTACCGCAGACGGAGTCTTTCTGTCCAAAGTAGGCAGCGTCGAAGAGGTGGTCAGCTGTTTTCTCAAAAGAAGCCAGCATGAGGACACTCTCCTTCATTTTGGCTAAACCGAACCTGGTGATTCCCAGAATCTCCCCCTTAATGGACAGAGGTCAGTGAGCTCCTCATTAATGTGGAAATACGAGCATATGCACAGATAATGTTTCAGATATAGACTATAAAGACAAAAGCAGGTACCTTATATGACATGAGATCTGCTAGGAGCATGACGTGACGCCGGTCAATGCTCATTCCATGGTTCACCATGGTGTACTGAATCTCATTGATGATGGTGGATCTAGCTGCTTCAATTCCCAAAGTCTTCTCAACCTAGATTTTTACACAGAAACAATGGTAAATGTTACTTTTAACTCAGACTGGACTGCAGAATTTATAAGTAAAAACATATTTTTTCCCCAAACCAAAAAATAGTAAGATCTGGATATACAGAGCAAGATTAGTCCAATAGGCAGATATTTGACCAACTACAAAACTTATTTGTCCCAAAGTTTAGAAATCGGCATGAGAGCAAGTGCACTTGCGCTGATTACAAACAATCACCTTCATTCAGGAGTTTACATAAGCAGCTGTCTCGAACAGCAAGGGACAAACAAATCTAAAAAAAGATCCTACTCCACAATTTTCATCCCTGTGGGAGTTTTTTTAGCAGAGCAAACACTGCGGCGCTTTCTACCCACCACAAAGTGGCACTTTTAGTCTTTAGAGAGGACGTGAAAAAAGCTCCATCCCTTTTATTCTGTCCCCACCTAAGCTGGAAGCATATTATTCCCCTTTTCACCAATTTGACAGAATTCTCTGAGGCTGTATTGAACCACAGGTGACAGGCTGTGATCTAAATGCCTGTAGGTCTAAGCATAGTGCCTATTTTCTCAGGTGTTTTTACAGCTGTCAAAGGAAAGAAGCAAGACTTAGAAAGTGCTCAACTCTGCCACAAGTTTAATCCGTAAATCAAGGAACCTATACTGTCAGTACAGAAGTCACGTGTGGGGTTTATTTCACTTTCCATTTCTAAAACTTCATTTCATGAATGACATTTTTAAAAAATGTCCTGAAAAAGCTAAATCTCTCACTTTTATCATTTGACATGTAATTCTATTATTCTGTTGTGGTAATAAATGGGTTCGAATTAAAGCAAGTACTCTCACAATGTTTATAACACATTCTGAAAAAAATATCTCTCAGTAGTCTTTTTATTTTACATGTTTAAAGTTCGGGGAAGAAAAAAAAAAAGATTTGGGACTTGCAACAGAAATCAATGTTGCATGGAAACAGTTTAAACATGCAGTCAGTTTAATAATCTTGTCATAAAAATTAAACCAGTTCAGTCTTAAAACTCATGAGAAGTGCAGGGCGGATGACGGATCAAAAGGCTCATACCTCATACGTATTGTTTGAAGTGGTCCTACTTCCATTCACTCCGTGTGTGGCCATGACAGCTCTCATGTTGTCCCCCTCCACCAGGAGCTTGTACTTGTTCTTGCCGCTCTGTTCGTCTATGTGGATGACAGCTCGGGAGACCTCAGGTATTCCCTGAACCACCACCTTCGAAGGAACACATAAGAAAAGATAAATTTACTCAAGGCCATTTTTCTCAACCATAGACTTCATTTTGATTAAAAATACAAAATAATTAACATGCTGTGTTTCTAAGAAAAGGTTTCTGAAATCGTCACATGCTAAGATCTCACCTTGGGGAGTTCCTCCTTTAAGGACTGGAGCACGTAGTACATCGAGCTCTTGCTGTTCTCCCGTGGAGACACACACACCACCGCCTCGCCGTGCACAGCGATTTCTCTGGGCTTGACTCGTAGTTTAGACATGCAGATGGAGTAGCGGACCGTTTCAGCATTCACCTGAGAGTCAAAAGCTGTGATCAACAACCCTGCTGCGGCTGCTGTTCATTTAACGTCAACATTCAGTTAGATTATACCAACCTGTGATCATTCAACCCAATTAGCCTCTCCAAAGAATCGATTTTTTCATCTTTCAGCAAACTGACGACATAACCTCTGCCAATGGCAGCATAATACTGCTCTGAAATCCCCTAAAAACCAGATCAATAGCACTCTGTATGGTAAATCTGGGATTACCAGCAGCATTGGACTTTTTACCACCAATATTTCCACACAACTCTGGTCATATTTGACTTAAGAGAGTCAATCAAAAGGGATGTTTCTGGAATTTACCTTTGGTTGAGCTATTCTCAAATGTTCATTACATTTTTTAATCAGTCTGATTAATTAACTCGGGCATCATCATGTTTTGTTTTCGGTTTATAGGAAAAAAATTTATGAAAATACACATGGCTTTCCCAATTGCTGTATTAATCAAAGACAAATGGAAGTAATCTAATTAAGGATCCTTCCGTGGGGTGCATGTTTGTCAAATGACCATCAGAGGCTGTGTTACAGCGCTAGGCGCTACTCTCAGTCACAGCACCTGCAGAAGGAAAACAATCGAGAGAGCTGAACGTCAAGAATTCAAAGCATCTCTATTTAATTAAAGCTATTTACAAAGTAAAACGCCCGTTTAATAAAACGCCTGTATCAAATGGGGGCAGCTAGAAAGAGCAGAGCAGGAAGGAAAGCACTGCTACTGAAATACACAACAGCGCGTTTTGTTTTTTATGATTCAAGTCTCTAATTAAGAAAAGCAACATGTCATTAACTCTGTGCAATTTTACATTCTTTCATGTTCTTATAACTTTAATTAAAGAAACTATGTTTGGGATATTAACATAACTGCACAAAAGGAAACCCTGCAGTCGACTGTCGGAACACCATGATTCAAGACCTCAGGTATTACAGGTAAAATGACACAACTAGAAAAAGAAAACATGTTGTAATAAATCAGAAGTATTATTTAATGAGAGTCGGTGTCATGGAACGCCCACATATAGTGAAGAGAAAAATTAAAAAAATGTGCTACCTCCAATCGCAGCAGTCTTATCCTCTCCAGAGACAATTTTACCAGGATGAAACAGTCATCTGGAAGAAAAACTTCTTCAATGTACTCTGAAATCTGTGGGGGAGAAAATGTAGGACACCGCTTTATTACACATGTACAACAGCTATTTAATGTTCTTCTGCTTCAGCTGGTGTTTGAATACGATGGCTTTCATTTACTGTTTAAAAAGGGAGGAAAGACATATTTAAATACCTCTCCCAGAAGGGTTTTCTCAATTCTCCCCTTCACCAGCCTGGCGAAGTCGGCATCATCTTCGACATCCAAATGAGCCGTGATTATAGGAGTGCTGAGTGGCGAGCAGAGGTCTCAGTAAATGGTTCAAAACAAATTAGGGATCCGTTCATTACTGGGATGAAGAGAGATCATTTATTTGCAAAGCAGAGCTAAGTCTGCTCAAGGCACTAAGTCTGGTTCTCAGGATTCGGGGAGGTGATCTCATGCATTATGCTCCAATGACAGCAGCCTGTTACCACTGACTGTAAATATCAAACAAGAATAGCTGCCATTCATTCCAGATGTGGTTATTATGGATTTCCTGCTAAATCTGGCTGTAATAATTCAACGTGACTTTTAAATATTCCGGACAAGACAGCCATCACATCTGAAGGGATGAAAAGCTTACAACCATCATTCTAAACTCAAACGATGGAGGAACATGGAGAAATTGCTCTGTAATGACATACCTGATATTCTTGGAGGCATTGATGATTTCTTTGATGCGCGGCACCCCCAGGGTTATATTCATCGATGCCACACCAGCAAAGTGAAAGGTTTTCAGTGTCATCTGAGTGCCGGGCTCTCCGATGCTCTGAGCACAGAGGGCCCCGACGGCTGAGCCCGGCTCCATCTGGGCTCTGTGCGGGAGCGATAAATGTCAAATTATTACCATTTCACAGCAGTCAGTTTTAAACGAGTCATCATGAGGGAAATCTTACAGCAACAAGTGAAATGGGATTTTGAAGACATTTCAAGTCAAAATAAAGCTTTTAGAGGATTTAATGTGAAAACGCACAATTTCTCTATTCTAAGAACTGCTCAAAGGATTTTCATTAATTTCCTGTCAGCGTGTCCAACAGAATGACATTATGTTCCCAGTGGTCCAGAAGAAGAAACATGGATGTGGAGGAAGCGTTTCATTCGGGTTTATAATTGCAATCTCCTTTTGTATTTCTTGTTTTCCGTAATTCCCTTCCCTCGTACTTCATTGTCAGCCTTTCTGCTGCTTGACATACACTCTGCCGCTCACTCGGACAGAATGCCGTCAAGCTTTCAGCAGCTTAGATGACACTCCAGTTAGAGTTCTCATACATTATTGCCATTGTGGCAACCCACCAAAATATGGTGCTTTCTGTGCTTCACACAAAGAGCCCCAGAAGGTCTGTCTAGCACTTAAAGTAAGTAGAGCTTACTTAATGGTGCGCTGCAGTTTTCATAGAAAGGCTTTTGTGAAAATTAAAATAGCTAAAAGGGCATGAAAAAAAAGCTTTAAAATCATCTTTAAAGTCATTAAGTAGAGTTGGTGACACAAACCCCCTTACCCAACAAGATTTTCCCATTAGCACTGTGTATTGATTCGGTGAGCGCAAATAAGGAGAGGGCAGGCTCCAAGCACACAATTTAATGGCCATCTGATGTGAGTAAAGAGTCCAACTCGCAGTCCCCACAAGGTGAATTTAGAGGGTTAAGACATGCATTAAGACATTGGCTAAAATCAGTTTATGATTCATTTTAGGGTAAGGGTCTAAAGAATGCATTACATCAATGCCTGTTCGCTGCAAAGAGGAAAACAGATGTTTGTATGAAGATATTAGAGGGGTGCAGAACCAAAGCAACACAAAATGCTGCAGTAGTCAATTTCCCTTTTTGAATAATAAAAGAGTAAATACTTTGAGTGGGTAGCCAGATATATTTTGGCTGGTGATCATACTTTGGCAGGCTGCTTAGGTCCATTAACATAATGTAGGAAACCCTGGTCTTTGGAACGGGAAGCCGGCTCCCCGTTGACCTTTCATCTACAACAACCATGAGAGTTAATGTGTGGATTGGAGTAAAAGCTGAACAGAATTGGGAAGCACTACTATAAAATGAGTCAATCCTGTGTGTTGTTGTAATTCTAATTCAACATGATTGCTTTATGACTGTATTCACTGAGCCAAAGGGCAGAAATTGCAATCTTTGAAAAAACTAAAGGCACATAACAGAAAACCAATATTGCTAAACTCTTGGGAATACATCTTCTACCTCATGTACTTGTCCCTGCAGGTTTCAAGAAACTTCTCAAGCTGAGTTGGGGTAATACGGTCCAGCTGATAAAGAACTTTTGGCTGTGATACAATGGAAAAAAGAAGAGCAATTTACATTCAAACGCACGCTTTAATTGACATACAACTGATGCTCTCGTGTGCCTACCTCACTAGTACCGTTGTCATTGATGCCGTATTTATCTCTGGTCTTCTTAATCCTGTCTGATATACTTTTGATGAATTTCTTGATTTCCTACAGTAAATGACACAGAGTGAATCAGCTCCACGCTTTCAAAGACACAAGAGAAAAGTGAAAGCTTGATGCAAAGTCATGCCTCAGATATTTCAGGAGGAGAGTAAAATGTAAGTAGTAAATGGTCCAATGTACTGAGCCATCTCTGAAAAGAACATTTGTTGCATGTTAAAACTACCAGATGTTCAGGTGTCAATGACATTAGCAAGAGGCACTGCATTTCAAAACAGTCACAAGGTTATTTAAAACTTGACATTTCCTAGTTTTTACAAACACACCATTCTGGATTCAGTTAAACAACAATCCAGCATGCTCGGTCACTGTACCTCCAGGTACTTCTCTGAGCCAGTTTCAGTTAATTCCTTCACAAAGAGGGAAAGATTCACATGTTTCCTTTAAGCATGTGTGCATTTTTTGTCATTATTAACATGTTAATGAAGAATCGTCAGTCTTTGTAAATAATATTTAACTTTCTGTGATAAATTAACTATTTCTGTGTTTCAAAACATGAAGTTAAACTGTTTTAATTGCTATAAAATGTATAATAAAGACAGAAAACATTCCCTTTACAAAGCTATCCCAATGAGAAGCACTGACAGGGGAAGTCAAGTAATTACAACTTAGTATCTTAGTCTTAGTCTTTATAAATATAAACTTCAAGAGGGGAAAAGCAAAGCTGCTATACAGATTAAGTGGAGCCGGATGGATAAACCAATATTTTTGGTCGTTTCACAGGAATCTTTGCATTTCTTTGACCTGGTAGGGAATCAATAGTGATAAAAGCTTGAAGACAAAGGAATTCATGTTAGAAAACTTCATGGTTTAATAACCATTTTTAGGCAGGGAGAACATTACCTTGCCTCCATTTGCCAGTTTTTGTACTGTAATAATCAGGACATTAAGCAAATAAAAGCTGTTTTGATTTTTGTACAGCGGGAGGTTTTTGAACAGTTACCCAATTTCTGTTTGTGTTATTCATGAAACAACAACACAGAAGCATGTGAATAAGCTGAAGTATACAGAGGGTTCCATTCAGCATAAAGCTTTGTGAGTGTCCTCATATTTTTTAACGCTTTACTGTAAATAAAACCATTTACTGTGATGATGTTACCTCCAAGAAGCTGTCTCTGCAGCACGAGAAATCGGCTCTTTTCATAATGACATCAGCAGTGAGGACCAGCTCGTTCTGACTGAGCGCAGGCTCATCTGGACACGTGTGGACAGCCTGGGGGGAGCAGAAAGAAACAGTCTCAAACATAAAAAGCATGTAACAGCTTAATAATAACAGATCCTCACGGCTCACCCCAAGTGAAGCTTATATATCGTAAGGATGAAAAAACACGCTTTTGTAAGAGTGTCTATCAAAGATTTGCTAACATCATGTCTCAGTGTGTAGAGGCAGAAGCTTTAGCTGTCACCACTGCTCCCTAAACACCTAACAACCTAATACAGAAAAACATGGGGATCTCAGTCGATGCATTCTTGATTACAGTAATAAAAATGCTCAACTCTTATATTAGTAAACCATCATTTGCAGTAAATTTAAAAGAAAAAAATATGCTTTTGAGTTAATGAATTGTTACCATTTAGCCACACTTAGCCAACGCTAAAAAAATGTGCCTCTTCCATGAACGTTTGTGTTTTGGAAAAGATGGTGACATTTTTTTTTTCCATTTGTGGTTCCTGATTTCTATTTTCTTTCCAGGAGGTTAGATCTTTGGGGTCTGATCAATACATAAAAGTGAGCAGAAATAACACCAAAGTCAAGTCTGTGAACGCTTTGATATTTGTAAGAACAGAAATGATGACCATAATAAATCTTTTTCATATATAAACTTTAGAAGCGAATATTGTGAAGTGCTTTCCACAGAAAGATGAAAATAAGGTAAATTCAACTTGAAACAAAATCAATAACATCACAAAATGTAATCAAAATGTGGGGCCACGATGGTAAACAATCAATAATAAGAACACTGAAAAATAAAGTAAATGTCTGGAAAGATTCTCTGATAAAGTTATGCTTTCAGAGAAGATTTTAAAAAATACACTTGCGATGCCATTTTCAGCACTAGCATACACAACGCATCATGTATGATCTCATCATGTGAGACACGGTTACGTCGATGGATATGGAGAGGGGATGAAATAGTAGTTTTTAATGTCATTAGATATGAACATTATAGGCATATTTTCTGATCTCATAGTTTAAAATGTATCACATAATGCTGTAAAACTGTAACAAACCAGATAAAAGAAGCACACATGACTAAGGAGGAAGAGTACAAAGGCACAATCTCATAATGAGAACGCGCAGGGGAAAAGCATCCCCAGAAGGAAAACACCATGAGGTCAGCCTGCTACATGTCCATCCAGACTTCACTCACCCGAATGTTGTCCAGAACTCTCTTAAACTCCAGAGGCTCGTCCTTTCCTTCCATAGCAGCTGGGTCCAGGCCATCGCCGCCATAAATAAACTGGATGATGTCACCTGTGGAGCTGCGCACTGTCAGATCGTACTGGGAGCACAAATCTTCAAGGGATTTCACCAGACGCCTCTGTTCCAAAATTAACAGGAGTAGTCATGAATATGCAACAAGTACACCATCAAACACCAACTGACCAACAGTTCACAGTTACACCGATTAATTTTAGTCAAAGTGCTTTAGTGTCAACCCTTTAAACTCAAATTGTAAATAAAATCTTTATAATATTGTTATTGGTGATATTAACATGGCCAACTCGAGCTTTAAGAAGTTCATGGTGAACTTAATGTCCTGTATTTGTGACTATCCTCTTACAAAAGATATGACAGATATATGCTTAAGCTCATTTAACATTGGGCTGCACCAGGAGTAATTGTTGAGGGAATGAAGGAATCCACAGGCATTACCTGCATGTATCCGGTCTCAGCGGTTTTCACTGCAGTGTCTACCAGGCCTTCGCGACCCGCCATTGTGTGGAAGAAGAACTCTGTGGGCGTCAGACCAGAGTAGAAGCTGTCGGCCACAAAGCCTTTGGCGGCAGGCAGCTGGGGACACATCATTGTCGACTATCAACCCTGCTTCAAAGTATTCCATATGTGTGCAAAAGGCTTTTTTCCTTTTATGCATTTTCAATCTGATTCCCCATGCGGTTTCCATCATAATCATTTTACTTGTGATCCTTGAAGAAACTCTGATATGCATAGAGACGGAATCATAGGTGCTGTGATGGTTTTTGACTAAAACCAAATGTTCCCCTTTGCATAACGACATAGTGAAAATAACCAATCTCAAAGCACATCAGAGCAAAGTTTGAGAGCAAGATGTGACGCATCATAGTTAAAATCAAATGAAAGTCAGATGGGGAAAAAAATGGCTTCCTGGCGTGCCATTCATACAAACCCAGAGACAGCTGTGGTACATATTCCCAACCAAATCAGATACAATTAGATTTGTTTGAGGAAAAAAGTCATTCACATGAATACATTTAGAACTTACCTTTGAGTGTTTTTCAAAGTGAGGCAGACTGCGGTTCTCAAAACCATCAGGGACTCGAGAGCCACTTATGGCCTGCTGGCCCACACAGGCGATCATCTGAGAGATATTAATGAAGGAACCTGAATGTGTGCAGAGAGGGCAGACGGAAAGTTGAGACAAAGACCAACAATTCCAAAAAAAGAAAAATACAAATGGAACTAACTGAGCAAAGCAGCCAGAATATGAAGTCAAACGAATAGTGACAGTAGTTTGTTAAGATCAACATCTCATTCCTTTAAAAAGCATGTTGAAAAACAGTATTATTACCAAATCTGTTTCGGAAGGGTTACATTATTATTATAAAAAATAAATTATGTGAAAAATCACCACGGGTACTGAGATCAAAGAAAATAATTTATCTGTGACCGAAAAAAAAGGTGTCCAAGAAAAGTATAATTAGAGCCGAGATAACCAGAATGAGCCACATATGTGGCCATTTCCTCTCTTAACATCCTGCATCTTTCTGGCTTCCCTGTCTTTATACTTATAAATGTACAAAGAGCTGTATGGGAGTATATAATGATAAACCACGTCCTTCATGTGTCTGTTGCCATGACAACACATCAAATCATCTCCCAGTTTTTGAAAACATTAGGAGGTAATCCTAAATTGTTCATCTTTGCAGGTTCTGTTTGGAAAATAAAAAGCATCATCAGTTATGCTTCATTTCCAGCAGTCTCACCTTTGGAGCCACAAAGAGCCATAATAAGGGGGCTGTTGCTCTTGTCGAGCTCCCTGAGGCAGGCGCTTCCAGCTCGGTCTCTGATCACTGAAAGCTCCTTCAAGATGAGAGCCTATTATGGAGCACACAAAAAAACAACCTTGGTGGTTGATACAGATGTGTTCACTCATAAAAACCACATAAAGATGATGCCAAACATTAATAACACACCGCCCACTGTGTAATAGCCACATCAATCATTCTAAAAGCAGGAGACACAAATAAATGCTAAATTAATTAAACAGGAAACTTCGCGCCCTGGCGTTAAACCTTTTTTTACTGGACAAGTTGCTGATGCGTGTCCAACATGTTTTGGCACAGTTAGAAAGGCCATTCCTTTTAACCGATGACAGTAGGTAATTTATCAATTTAGCCCTAAATCAGAACTCCAAAATGTACATAGTTAGTCACATGCAATCTTACTTTCAAGCCTGACCCTCGTATTGGATCCTATCCAGGTCCTATTTAGCACTACTGTTTAATTGTTTTAAAAAATCCTGCCTCCCCTAAAACATCCAGATTTCCACTTGTCGCATAAAATCACACACCAGCTTCTCTGCCAAAAAAACCCCCAACAAGTTACTTCTTTGGAAGTTAGACATCATGAATCAGTGTCTGTGTGGATTCTAAGTCCTAGATGGGTGAGGAACCAGGCGGCATGTGCCTACCTCCAGAGTCTCCTCCGCTGTGCAGCCTGGCTGCTGCTGCAGCTTGCCTGTCTGCAAAGCTTCAATGTACTCATCACATTTCTGGTAGCCGTCATCCAGCAGGTCCTGTTTGGCCTGCAGCAGACCCTGGCCAGGGGTCACATCCCCAATTCCAATAGAAAAACCTCTGTTGGCTGAAAGGTGGGTGTTGGAAAAACAAAAAAAGAAGACATCATAGTAAAATTTTTACTGCTTTCCATGGATTTCATGGATTTTCAAAATGTACCAACAGTTATTGTCTTCTAAACAACCCTCTAACAAGGAGCTGCCATCGAAAGAAGTGTTACCGAAACAGTGTTTGGGAAAATGTACCCCTTGTCTCACAGAAATTCCACTCTGAAGATAAAATGTTTCCTAAAACGTAAACCCGGATTTAGAAGCCACCCTGTTTATATAAAGAGGAGCAGAGGTGACAAGAACAAGAAAAGGGAAGAAAAAAAGCCAAAAAAGCTTCAGCGTAAATACGGGTTAATATCGGAGATAAACATACTTTGCTGCTCACAGTCTTTATCTATAGTAAGATTCCATTACCTCTCTCTCTTCTTAACTTGTTGATTTATTGGATTAAGCATTTTCAAAGACGATTTTAATTTGATGCTGTGGAAAGTCAAAGCTCCTCCGAGGCTGGCAGTTCATTAGCCTGATGTCAGGTTTGTCTCCCCCTGTTCATCAGAGGGTTAAGTGTTTTTAAAGAACTCAAAGCCAATTCAGCAGGAGGAAATCATTTTAGCTTTATAAACTTGTCCTGATTAAGGAGCTTCATATAGAAATGAATTTATTACCAGATAATTTCCCTATGAACACATATAGAAACTGTGGGGGATTGCTTGGGTATGCGTCTCTGCATAAAAATAAAAAAAAAATTTGTGTGTGCATCACACCATACATGTCACTCATGGTAGACTAAACTAATCCTTGAGACCACCTACAAAGAAACACTGGCGCTAGTCTTGCCAGGCGGGACATGGCGTTGGCAGCCTCCAGCTGTCCCCAGTCTCTCAGCAAGATGTAGAAAATGTTGTTCTTGGAGCCTGATCCCAAGGTGCCTTTGTCCATGCTGCCGCACATCAGCTCGCTGTTGTGAATAACCACGACTGGGGATGTGGAAAAGGAATAGGGGGAGACATGATGCCATTATAATGAAAAAAAGAAACACAAGCAAGGCCAGTAAAACAGCGTGATGTTCGCCTCAAGACACTAGATGCTCTTTTTAGAAGTGAAGTTCAAAACTCAAGAGGATAAGCATCATGAAAAGGGCTTCTTTTCCCTTTTCCACACTAATTTAGAGACTAGAATTTTGCTACGTAATAATTTGGAAAATTATATTGTGTCTTCCAATGACACTGTTTAAATGCTGACCGGATTCATTCTTAGCCTGATATGAATGTTCCATCTGAGAAAATTATGTAAAAATAAATGATTTACTAAAAACTATCATAACTCTAAATGTGTTTACTAGACGCATGCTTTGGAACAAATATTCATTAATTGCAACTTTAAAAATTGAATACAACCTTGTTATGTCATTACTAAGATTTCATTTGTGAAGAGCAGCTAAAAAAAATACTCAAATTTCCAAACTAAAAGCACACTTATGCGATTTTTTAAGTGGATGTTGTGAAAAAAAGTAAAACATTTTTAAAAAAATCTAAAAAACTCACAGGAGTCGTTGTGACAGAGATCTTCTCCTTTGCCACAGTATTGTTTCCCCTTGGTCCGCAGGTTTGCCTTGACAGGACATTGATCACTTGGCTTCAAAATGACGCTGAAAATCTGCTTGCCCGTCCATAGAGAAACTGGCTGCAGGATGCACAACAGGGTTTCAGCATGTTAGAGCCATATGAAACACACTTATGTCACGAGCTCACCATAAATTAATACCTTCATTATAGCTGGGCGAGGGAGAGAAATCTTGACTTTTTCATCTTTGCCAACAAGTATCGATGCCACTATCTGGCAGGCTTTTGATCTGTCGAAGAAGGTGTCCTTTAGCGTCAACAGGTAAGCACCTAAGAGGTTGAAATATTCAGTTAAATTTGCGGTTAAACATTTTGCTGAAGCTAAAGTTCTCCCCCTTCAGGACAAGACACACATAGACATAGATAGGGTGTGTTGAGCCACCACCATGTTGTTATATTTGCCCTACAAGCAGCCACACCAACTTGTTGTCAGTTTAAGTGGTCACGAGCACCATTTATCCAAGCTTTAAGATGGTGTTTTGAGTTTGATATTAGCACCTGACCATTATTACATTGTTTTTGTTTGGTAAGTCATCTTACACTGACTTGTGAATGAGTACAAGGGCACCAATCTAAAGGGATAAAACAGAAAATGTAGCAAGGACCAATTTGAAATAATACCTTTAGTCAGAATGCTGGTTTTGCAAGTCAAACTATTTATACAAAAAATGCCAAAGGCACAATCTGAAAGGCATTTTAAAAAAAGTATGAACTAAAAGGCTAAGTCTGCAGCTCTTTAAGAAAACTGGACGAGTGGACACGAAAGAAGTAGTGAGGGGCCAAAGAATATGTCTAGATTTAGATTAATCTGAATGATGTCCTTAAGAAAAAAAAAAGAATGCAGGGTTCTGACAAACCTACATCTGGCCATTTATTTGACTATCTTCTGTTTATTGAAGCAATTCGACTACAAAAGAGTTCTGCATTGTAATGACAGGACATTTTTTTCAGACTGAGTAACAACAAAATAAATAAATGAAAAAGGGCCAGTCCACTAGAAGGTTCAATGTGCCATCATTTCACAGCATGGGAAAACAACCAGAGAATATGTGTGTAAGAAGCAAATCAAGATGTTATCTGCCAACTGCAAATTATGGCACAGATCGCATCTTATAGCTCACCAATCAACCATTTGTCTTCTTTTCCTTTATTGTTATTGTCATTGCTATGCTCATAATTGAGTGGATGGGATTACTGCGTCAATAAAAGATAAAAAAGATGGGATGTAGCTTCTCTGTTTCAAAGTGCGCAGCCTAGTGTAACATCATGTATTACCTTAAAAGCTTGTGACGCTTCCTTACAATGGTTATGAATTTATTCACGCCATTTCTTTTAACATTTGCACATATCTGAATGGATTGAATAAGCCACATTATTCCTGCTTTTTTGGCAATATCTGAAGCTAGAAATGTAACCTTTTCACAGCAAAGTACTCTGGACATATAGGAATATACGTTTTCATATTATCGTGCACCATCAGACTTCAGAGGACTTAAAACTGCTGTTTTTCTGACAATCATAAAAGAACTCCATAAGAGTTTTATTCCAAACAACCCAGAGACTTGTGTCAGACAAAGTGAGAGCATTGTGCTCTGTGATTGGCTGCATGCACTGACCTGTCAGAAAGTCCTGAATCGCAGCAATCAAAGGTTCCCCATTTCTTGGAGTGACAAGATTGGCTTTGGTCTGAAAGACAAGATAATAGTCTGAGTCAAATTGCAACGTCCTAACATTAAAGCCTCTCCACGGGAATCTTTTCAGCTGTGAATGTCACCAGTGACGTGTGCATATACTGTCTGAACAATGTGTTACAATACAGACCCCCATCAGGACAAGGGCCTCAGCCTTTGCTTCTTCAGTCTGAGGTAGATGGAGATTCATCTCGTCACCGTCAAAGTCGGCGTTATACGGGGTGCACACACACTCATTAAATCGAAATGTTCTGTGTGGTTTGACTCTGGCCTGTGATGTCGAGATGGAATAAAAAAAAGTAGAAAAACAAAAGCTAATGAATGTTTAATTTTAGATGAGTTACAATACTGACATTTAACTCAAACTTTGAATTATGAACTAAGGTTCATACAATGGGACTAACAAACCAGTCGAGGATAATTATGACAGAAATAATCATTGTTATTATCCACTGTGTCCAGATTGGCCATTATTGGTCCGCACAGCAGCATTTGTTACAGACACATAAAAGAAGAAGACTCTTCAACCATTCCGTGTGTAACGGATTAAGAAATATCTATACTCAAAATCCAAAAACTTACGATATGGGCCATGATGCTGAGTTTATGCAGAGAAGGCTGTCGATTGAAGAGGACGATGTCTCCATCGATCAGATGCCTTTCCACCATATCACCAACCCTCAGCTCTTGAGCTATCTTTTCACGGTTCCCATATTTCAAGAATCTGAAAAATGGAGAGGATTAGGATTTGTCTTGAAGCCCCTCTGGTCTAGCACTACTGGAAGCGCCTCACCTTTTCATCTGAGTGTGACGGCTCTGGATGAAATTGGCTCCAGGGTGAACATCAGGGCCATTGCGAACCAGTTTTCTCATCAGCTCCAGATTGGCTTTGTTTACCTTAAAACCGCATTCAATTCAGATACTGCTCTCTATACATCACAGTGGTTGCCGATCCTATTTACTGAAGTCACTGGGCACGGCTTACCTTCTCTGGGTACGTAAGGATTTTGGCAACATGCACAGGCACAGCCACCTCATCTATCCTCAGGTTTGGGTCAGGGGAAATAACAGTTCTGCCAGAGAAATCCACTCTTTTCCCCGAGAGGTTTCCTCTGAATCGACCTGAGATGTCACAGAAAAGTGAGTTGACAAAGTTCTGTTATACAGAGTTAAAATAATAAATTAGAAAAATGTTTTGCTTACGCTAAGGGTTTGTTTCTTTCCATATAGTTTTACTAACATTTTTTGAATAAACACTGAATTATACAGCTAAATGAGTTAAGTTTTCACATTTTTGGACAGGTAGAAATGGGCACTTTTGTTTTTTTTTCTCACTTTATTTAATCAGTTTAAAATAAAAATGAAATACCTTGCTTTCCCTTGAGTCTTTGGACAAAGCCTCTGGTCCATTTTTTTGGTGCCATGTTCAGGGGAATGCCAGAAAGTTCACTATTAATGTAAAGAGCACACTGCAGCTGGAGGAAGTCCCAGTCCTCCATGATCATCTGGGTTTTAGCCCCAGTCATGCGATGCTAAATGAACAAAGACTCTGATAAGAAAACTGTCAGGAGGAAGAAAGTCTAACAAATTAATAATACACCCGTTTCCAAACTAATAAGAAACCACACAACACAAATATGGAAACAGTGTACAAATGGTGCTTAAACATGTTGCAAAAAAGGATTAGTGACATTGTGTTCTCAAAGATAGTTTCCCCCTTTCAGTAATACTAACCTTTTTAATGACATCATTAAGGAAGATTATCTCTGTCAGCTTCATTGTGAGGTCATCCTCATTGGTGCCTGACTTCAGATCGCTGACCACAGAGGGTCGGATGCAGAGAGGAGGCACGAGGAGACGGGTGATGATGAGGTCTGCAGGCTTCCCAGCTTCTGGGTTCATCAGCAGCAAAGGAATGTCTTCCTCAGGAATCCTTTTAAACAGGTTCAGGACAACTAGAGGGTTCAAGTTTTCCTACAAAAAAAAAATCAAATAATAGCTAAATAAGGCAAAATAGGTTTCAGTCAGGGATTTTGTCTTGTAATTAAACTGGATCAAATAGTTTATAATGATACAGCTCACACTTTGGTTTACAGGATTATGAACAAGTGCTTTCAACAAGCATGCCTTATCTAAAAACATTCAAGCATTGTAATCATTTTTATGTCACCAACTTCAACCACACTTTGTTTAGCACTGCTTCTTGAGGATATCTCAAAATTCACCTGTGCTCTGGAAAGCAGGGGCTCTATGAGTTTGTTGTGTTCAATGGCGATATCAAAGGACTGCAGGAAATCTGACACAAAAGGGTCCACCACTTTCTTGGTGGTTTTATACTTCTCATGAATTATTTTCAGTAGGCCACATTTTTTCACAGGTCCTGAAAAATAAGGAATAACAACATAATTGATTAAATAAAGCCTGTATGACGCTGCCCAAATATAACGGCAAAAAAAGTCAAATTCATGTCTCTTTTCACCATTAAAAGCTGAGCAGTTTAAACAAATCGTCCTTTTGCGGCATTTATCAGAGATCTTCTTCTTTAGGCCTCGTTTCTGGAGATAAGCCAAGTTAGGGCGCTTCAAAACATCAAAGAACTGCAGTTTCTCCTCTTTGGTCATCATTATGCTTGAACATGTCTTGCAAATCATCTGAAACATAAAAAAATACAAATGTCAAACTACAACAAACCTGACCATTGGCTATGTTAGGGCTAAACATGGTCATTGGCTCACTCTTTTGCCTCATCTATAGTTTTGATGCTCTAGTGACCCCTAGAGGACACACGGTGTATCTGCATTTTATTTGAGAAATGTATGGGAACTGTTTGTGTACTAATTTTGCAAAGAATAACACACAACCATGGATAATCTCTATATCACATTCCACCATCTAACCACATTGTAGCCTTGCTAATGGTTTTAGCTTCTGAATGACCTTTTTAGAATATATAATATGACTCTATGTATAGATTTCTAAAACCATGTAGAATGTGTATAATATATCTTCCAATGCATTATATGGTTAATCAACCATCACATGAGAGCATAGACTTGCCTGCAAGATTCCAATGGTGGCTTTGAAATAGCCGACATGAAAACATGGCAGCTCCAGATCCAGGTACCCATAATGTCCTAAACAATCTGCCAAATTCTTGCCGCACGTCAAACATGGCCTGTCTTTTTCACTGGTACCCTATGAGGAGCATGAAATCAGAGAGCTATGGCACACTGCAATCTACAGGAAAACAGTTATAGATAAAGGACTGTAAAGAAGGGTTTAAGACATATTCCACTCTGAATTAAATTAAGGGGACATAGACTATGGATGGATAGATCAGTAAAACTAAAAACTGTAAGAAATATAGTATGTTGAAATGCACGTTCAAGTGTTTTCTTGAGTCTCTTGTTCAGGCAGAAGCCCTGAGTCTCGGTATCCCTTTCTTACCATACGATGGTCCAGCACTCCATGGGCCAGTGGAGTGTGTTTGGTGTCTTGGCTGTACAGATTCTTACTAACGACTTGGATGTGGGCCTGCTGCCGCATCTGCTCAGCAGACTTGATCCCAAAGCAGATGTGGCTTCTGTGAACATGCACAACCAGGCAGTCAAAGAGAACCCTAACCCAACATGTTTCTAGTGACAAAAGCATGGATATCTGATCAAACCATTAGTATGAAGCAATAATGTTTCTATTGCTGCACACCAGCTAACAAACATATTGCTGATATGTAGAACATGAAAATGAATAAATAACAAAGGCTCGAAATAATCCATGAAATGAACTATATTGCATATACCGTCAAGCTAAGCTCCCAAAATGTGGCGAATACACGTTTAGCACCATGACTGCAACATATAACATTAAATTGAGCATACATTCCTAATGTGTCAGTTTGGTAGAAACACGGTAGTCAAGTTTACTGGCTTTAAAACTATTTGAGCTGTCAACATCAGTCACATTACAACTGACGGACAGCAGCTAACCGGTGAGCTAACAAGCTAGCAGGGCTGTTATACTTACATTTTTTTGGCCACATCTGTCTCTCTGAATTGCTCTTTCACCATTTTAGAGCCTTACACGTAACCTACATCAAAACAAAACAAGTTAAACATTTATTTTATCCATGTCACAACTTGCTGTCGGGTTGACTTCCCCCTGTTTTATACACGCTAACAGTCAGAAGCATGCAATGTGTTGATAGCATGAGCATGGGAGCCACGGCGGCGTTGCCTTCACGGTTCATCCGTAACGTATTTTTTCTCAGAGATGTTAAACGCTGATGGGAATCTTGCAAAGTGTTACTAAAAAGCTGTCCCTTTTCCAAAGAGAGATCCTATATAAATATCATAACGCTATATTTAGTAGGTGCAATCTCCCTTTCAAATACTCTCCTCTTAAATAGATAAAACATTTTTAAATGTAATCTTTTTTAGAAAAATGTTGCTTAGCTTTATCGGTATTAAATCTTTAAATTAAGTAAAACTGCCCGTAATCCAACATAAATTCGTCTCAATTGTATTGCAAATTTGTCTATTTATCTATTGACTATTGACCTTTTTTATTTACACTGATCCTACTTCTTGAACGTACCTGAACGCAACATATTCCCATGCCGAACAACAGACTGAGAAAGAAGTCACTGGGGCAAGAGCTTAGTCAGTAAATGGTGTGTGCTGCCGCCTAGTGGAGACACACTAGGACGAACAACCAATAACAACAAATATCACTCACTCCTAAGGGCAATTTGGAATGTCCAGTCAACCTAACATGCAGGTTCTTGGACTGTGGGAGGAAGCCGGAGAAACCGGAAATTATTCATGCAGATATATATACCAAAAAAAAAGGGAATTACTGAAATAATCATGAGTTTGTTATGTTTCATCAGGTTTGTTTGGCTTATAATTGTGATATTCTGGAAATTTGACTTTAAAAGAAAAAAGAAAAAGTCTGTGTGAACTTATTTGAAAAGCATAACATATTTCAGTCTGAGTTTAGATGAAAGCAATTTGACAAAGTCTCTGGAAGAGTTTTTCATAAGGAGCTCCCAAAACAAGATTTGACCAAAATCATCTTAGTACATCACTTTCAGGTAATGACAAACTATATTGCAGCAATGCACCTGTTTAAATAGTTCTTTTGTAAAACATTTCACACATTACCTCTACTTTTCACTTCTTAATTCAGAGAATGTTCAGTTGACACTGTGTAAGAACAACATTAATTTTAGAACATTAAAAACTTTTATATTCTTTTCAATCAAGACGGAAAGGCATCCTGTGTTGGTATTGTGAAGAGGGTAAGATAGTGGGAAACAAGAGAAAGACTTTTCTACAGCCTTCCAAAAAAAAGCAAGACACCATTTTGCCCAGAAAAGAGCATTCTTCGACGTGCATCAGCATTTTCCCACAGTGTGACAAAATAACCTTGCAAGTTTAGACAAAATAACCAACTTTTGCTTTTCCCAGGGAAGCACCTGTATTTTTTTGCAATGTACTTCCCACATTGAGAGTATAAATAGCTGATGTTTTAATTTATTTCTCAAGCAACTTGGCAAAGCACTGACTTGTCTCCTTGCTGCAAGAAAATAACTTTGACTCTAACGACTCTGAGCCTTATTGAGAGTGCTTTTAAAAATCTTCTCATTTCACTCAGCTTCCAGGTGGAACCAGCAGCATTGAACCAGCTCTTCTGGTTCTCCGTCACCAGCAGCATTGAGTCTGCTTTTTCTCTCTCCAGCTGCTGAGCCTTCTTCTTCGAACTTCTGAAAACAGGGAAAGCTCATCTCTCATATAATGCACAGTAGCAGAAATGTCAAAGATCTCTGCTTTAGCACTTGAGGACATTTTTCCACTGGAGCTTTGCAGGCCAGTTGGCTCTCATTCAGAGCTGCCTCTACCTTATTGACCAAGTGCAACATGTCACGATGATTTGTGTATATTCTTTTTTCACAATGCTGCTGCTCGTCTGTTGGTATTTTTCACAAAAGAGCTACAGAATATTTTTGACTGAAATTCAATCTCATTTATATCCACAAAAAAAGGTCAAAGTGCAGTTAAAAGAGAAATCAGGAAAGGAGAAGTTAGAACAGTGACCTTTGGACCACCTGGAATAATGCCACCAATTAAAATCAATCAGACAAGCTTCTCTGTTCATGTGTTGTATGAACTTACAGATATCTTTCCATTTTTTATTTTAGTTTCCAAACAACCATGTGCATCCAGGTTCTGGGTTTGAATATTTACTAGAACCTTTTTGTGTGGAGTTTGTATCTTCTTCCTTTTTCATTTGGATTTTCCCCACCATTTAAAAACATGCATGTTATGTGGTGAAGAAGACACATATGAATCATTCCCAAGATGTCACTGTAGGCATGGCTTTTATGTACCGTTTATTTTCCAGTACAACCTCTAGGTGGCAATAAGTGTATTTCAGTGAATAAGAGAGAGGCAGTGCAGACACTTAAACAAACCTGCTGTTAGGGGCTACCTGTGTTGTCTGATGCTTTGGCATGGGAATGCTGTTGGCAACTGATGAGTTCCTGATGAGAATTTCCTTTCACTACGTGCTTGTGTTGATTAATTGTTCTGTCAGCTTACAACCACTGACAGTGAAAATTGCCTGACCGAATCTGATTTTCCATTTTCCAATTCTGTTGCCACTTAAATATAAGATGGCTTCTAATTGAAACTCTAATATCATGCTCAGCATGATCTGGGCTCTCTAAAATTCCCCTTTAGAAACAATAATTCCCCAAAGATTTTAGTCTCCATGGGGACGCCAGAGGATTTAATGACATACAGACATATCCGTCTGTATTAATATATGTAAAGAGCACATGAAGTGGTCCTTGAAATCACTTGAGGGACCAGTATGTACAGTTCTTTTCAGCATGAGGTGACAATCGGTGAAAGCTACCTTTAAAGTGTCTCTTGAGTATCTCTGTGTTCAAAATGTGTATCAACACTAAAACAGGCCAATCAACCAGTCACAGCAATAGAATTTACAGACAGAGGTACAAGAGAAAAACTGAACATCTGTGATATGCTAAGGAAATGTCTCCCCCCTGAAAAGGGGATCCTGTAAAACAGATTACATATGCAACTTTTTTACCTCTGTGGTTGATACCTCTTGGGAGTTTGTGATAGGAAAATAATGTTGCAATGATTTTCTAAATCTGTAAAAAGAATTAATGACAGTGATTTCAAATTGTACCAAACACTTATTATTTTAGAATTTAATAGTCTTGTTGTTGATCTATTATCTCATAACGTGGTAAAATAATTTATTGTGTGACTCAAATTATCTTAGTTAAATTACCAATGAAATTACTTTTGAAATAGTTTAGGGAATGAACTCCATAAACATGGAGTGGAAGAAATAAATAAATTATTACCAACCACTTAGAGCGAGATAAGTGCTCTTGTCTTCGGCTCTCATCTGACCACTGCAGCAAGCCTTTTAAATACTTGAGTGTAGCCTAGTGTTTACCCACCATACCGTTTACATTATGCAAAACGTATTTGCAGATCAATGTGACCACCATCTTTGTGTAATTAACATGAGTAATTACTGTTCTTAATTTACAGAGCCACCCAAGGTTCATAATGGGGCTGCAAAACATTGACCCATGACAATTGATTGATCCCTCCCTCCTTTAAAACCATGCCCCTGTTAATGACTAAGTAATGAGCAGATAGTGTGTGGCTAAGGTGGCTAATACAGCTTTTACTCTCCTTATCCAGATTGGCTGATGTCTCTCCCTCTCCTTTTCCTCCTCCTCCTCCTCCTCCTCCTCCTTACCATGTTTTCTGCAATGGTGTCAACTCCTCGCTTAGCTTCTCCCCCTTTCCACTTCCTGAGTGTGTGTGTGTGTGTGTGTGTGTGTATGTGTGCATATCTGCACGCCTGTTTTGTGTGCTATTCGGTAATCAGCCACACAGACTCGCCTTTGGTGGCTGGAGACTGATTCAATATTCCACTGGGTAATTTATGCAGAACTAATTCTCTACAGGAATGGAAGGGCTTGGAGGAAGGCAGAAACAGAGAGAGAAATGCAGAGAGGAAGAAATCTGTGCTGAAATAATTATCCTCGGTGTCACTGTTGCAACATTCTGTGAAGTTGATGTCAATAAAATATTGAGCTACACAATCCATTTCAATTTCACCTCAAAAAAGATGCTGCAGAGGGCTGGGCGGACACACCAGAGTGAAGCGGCGCGATTGTGGAAGGAACAAATCCGAAAGCGTTCCTGTTTAACTCACAGTGAGATGGTGGCTGGCAACGTGCGCTGCTTACAGACTGACTGGGACGCGCACCACGTTGCCTGCAGTCATTTGACTTGTCAAAACAGCATGACTCCGTGTCTCTTTCTATTTGGACCTAGTGGGGTTAAATTACTGAAAATGAAGTAAAGGAGTATGAGATGAAAAATTAAATGAGAGATGCTTCCCAGGAGAGCCATTGGGATCACAGTATAGATTATGGCCATTTGTGATGGACGGGTTGGTAATAAGAGCGCTTTGTCAGGGTGCATTTCCATGGATATCTTTGATGGTGTATGCACTGAGGGGTTGGAGCTGCACTTCGTTGTATTCTTCTCACAGCTCGTATCGATCAGCACAATGCACACACAGATGTATTATGTTTATTTGCAGTACAGTCATGTTTGATCTATAGGTTCTGACTGCCCTTCAGCCATCACACTCTGTTCATGGTTGCATTCACTGCAGTGTTTTAATATCAGAGTGGATGTACTCGCAGGACAATGATGGAAAATGATCTGTATTTCATGCAGATAACATTGGATCTGGCTTTGAAGATAACTGCATTAGTGGTGTCTAATGTAGGTGATACTCATGTTAACTGTACCCACAAGCCTGAGGTTGGCGGCTTTGTTTATCATGTTTTTAATGTTTGTGTTTAAATGAACTAACAATAATGCTCAGCATAATACAGAATATTTTCTGGTGGGTGGGCTGAAGAGCTAGTTTCAAGTCAATATGTCTGGAAGCATGATGTTTTTACAATATCCCTTAGAAATTGATCAAATTCTCATTTGCTTCAACCAGAGTTTGTGTTTGCTGCAAATTAGCAATATTAACATTACATCTATGAGATAGCACGATGCTGATAAGAGCGGCTAACCCAACCCACTGTCTTGTGTTCGTCAAAGGTTTAATTGATTTTTTTGCATCCTGAATCAGTTGTTTTATACATCAATACACAGATAAATAGATA